TATGAAGCAACCACTGAATCTGAAAGATGGAAAATACCAGAGACCACCAGGATTAACTGTTGTTACATTTTATGATCAGCAAGTGAAATATATTGCCTCAAGATACCACCCAGGATCAAAATGTGCATTTTATCATGGCCAGCCATGTGGCAATCCCATGTTCTATCACCTAAAGCATGGATCTAATCCATGGTACAGACAAAAGAAATGATTCAGCGGACAATCATGCTGAATGGGATTAATAGTTCCTTTATTCTTGTATAATGAAGCTAAATCACATCATCTTTTACTGTGGTAACTTTTGTGTTTTGTAATGCTTTTTACTGGACAGAAATATTCCAAACAATGCTAGTTTCTTGAGTACCAGAAGTTACAACTGATCTTAGACAAACTTTTACACCTACCAAACTATTACATGAGCAAACTTTCTGTAGATCCTTCATCAACCTTTCTCAGGGTGAGACATGGCCTGTCCTCACTATGTTACACAACTCTTTTCTCTTCTTTATTTTCAAATGCGAGCTTGTAATTGAATTTGGGCATACTCGACTACATGACAAACACTAAACCCACTGCTTGTTGTACAATGTACGCTGTCTACGTTTAAGTATAGTCCCAGTGCAGAAAGAACAACTCTTTATTCACCTGTAAAGAACCCTGCATGCCTGTGCCACCATAAGAATAAAAAATATTCATTGTACTACCAGTCCCTTGAGCCATTCATGCCACTTCCTTCTCCCTCACCACCCTATATTAAGCCTTTTAAAGATGAAAGGGGCTGCAAATCTTTCTAAATGCCAGAGGACCATTTTGCTAAAACATTGTCCATCTTAACATCGTGTCAGATTTCTGAATGAGAATGACTTCTTTGGGTGAGAAGAGGCATATAACTTATACTACTTCTCATTTCCTGAAGCACTGGAATTGTGCTGCTCCCTGATGTTATTTTATTAAGATGTGATTTGTCATCATATTGCTGAAAACAAGATAAAATGCAGGCTAATTAAATTCCTTATTTAACTTGACGAGCATCTGCTTTATGTAGCCACATTCTTTTAAATGGAACCTTCGTAGCTGTTTCTTAGGATCGGGTTATCAATTTTTACTGTGATCAAAATGAGAAAATGCCCCCCCTCCCAATAAAGGCATGTGCATTCTCATTGCCTATGACCCTTGTTATTTATACTGAGAGATGGATAGCACTGCCCAGGCAGACTGCATCAGCACCTTGTGAGAATGCTGCCCAGACACTTCAAGAGCACTCCCTGTTGTTGAATAATTGCTATCCCATGGAGCCCAGTGGAAGTCACTGAGACAAGCTGGTAGCAAAATACTGAAGCTGACGGCAAGTGTTTTGTAGATCAGGCTGCTATACAAAGTATAACAAATAAATCACCTTGTGACTCCCCCCTTCTGTAGCAGATGAGACTCCCAACATAAAGGAAAATCATCTCTGTTGAAGGAGGCTCAACCAGCTTAAGCACACTCTTGAAGCGTGTGCTTAAGTATGCCATTTGCCAAGGCCAGATTCTAGCTCACTTTCCATTCACTGCATTCACAGAGGTTTCTAAGATGAGAGCAACCTTCTTGCATCATTGACTGAGTGATGACTGAGGCAGAACAGAGTCCTGTACTAAGTCCATGTTCCTAATTAAAGTAGTGGTCTTATGCTACTCCCAACTAAGTCACAAAAGACAATACAAACAGTTGTATCAGAACCCACTGTAAACTCAGAGCTTTTAGGAAAGTCTTGAGCATGCCACAGCTGTGGGTCTGCCTCTTGGAAGCCCCCTTGGCATAAGACTTTGCATCCCACAGAAGTCCACAGCTGCTCCACGAGCTCCTCTTGGTCTGGGGTATGCTTTGAGATCCTCCAAGGAGAGATGCTGCTCCTGTGCAAGGGCAAAGGACCATTAATATTACATTAGTGGTTAATTATTTAACATCAGTAACCTTTGATGCTCCTGCTTAAAGGACTTCTCCATATCTCTGGGTCTCTCATGCAACAGGAAGAGAAAAGGCAGAAAACTGTGGCTAGCTTTAATAAAGAGTATCTTAAAAGTTGGCTTCACATCAATACTAAAGCCATGGGATTAGCTGCTTATTCTGAGCTTGAAAACCAGGCCAGTAATTTAAACTCCAGAATAGAACTGGGAATGCAACTTTGCTTTAAACTGGTTTCCTATGGAAATAAAGCCTAGGCAGTTAATTTTCTGTGTGTACACAAGTCCTTCCTTCTAACTTTGCACCCTTCTGCCAGTTCAACCGTGTTTCACTAAGATAAGGTTTGTCCATCATGTGGAGCAAAAATACCACAGTTGTTTAAACCAGAGGGATGTGCTCTACCTTGATCTTAAGCATACTATAAGATATTGGAGAGTCCACATTGCTGATGCCCTCACCCTAGCTGGATCACAGCTCACACTGTATTAAATGCTGGTGACACAGAAGCTTTGGAAGCGCTGTCTGTACCTCAGTATATGATGTGGGTTTTTTCTATTTAAAATCTGCCAGGAAACTGACCCCTGCACCTGGGCTGCATCGCATAAGATCAAGAGTCAGTTTAGATTTTCAGCAGCCCGTGAGTGTGGCAGCGGCCTGGCAGCGAAGAGGAGGCCATGTGCTTTGCAGACCATTGCTCTGGACTGGAACTGTGGAGAGGAATCCAGCCAAGAAGGACAGAAGGCAAAAAAGAGACCCTGCAATCTGTTGTAGGGGTTGTACTATAAACAAGAGCAGGAGGGCTTCAGCATGCCAGGGAGGAACAAGCTGTGCAGATAAAAGAGGTTGCTTCAAAAGAGTGGAGGGTGACTAATTTTCCTTGCACTGGGTGGCCAAAGAGCAGGGAAAAAGAAGTGGTCTTCACTGAGCTGGCAGTCAGAGAAGGGGAGCAACCTTCTCATGCTGGAAAAGCTCAAAGAGAAGCCTCTGCAGATGCTCTTTCATCAGAGTTTCAAGGGCAGATGGATTCAGCAGACTCTGAATTTTGTCTTTGGTGCTACAAAGATGCTTGGAGAAAGGGCCTAATTCAGAGTTAACTTGCAGTACTAGCTGGGCTGTCAAATGGGCCAGCAGGTCCTCGACGTGCCATGATGGCAGAGGGAAAGTAGAAGTGAGTAACAGATGTCCAAGATATCCAGAAAGAATTGGCATGGGGTGGGGTGGTGATACGCAGATTCAGCATTCCTCCAAACCCAAGCACCCTCCAAGCCTTGGGCTCTGGTTGCCTATTAGCCATCTTAGATCCCACTGAGGACACCAAACCAGAGCAGAGGAAGCACAACACTTCAACCTACAGAGGACAGGTGCTGTAGAAAGCATTCCAGTCAGACCCTAGCAGCCTACAAGAAAGGCTTCCAGCCAGAAGTTCTGCCAGTCCAGGGTGTTCTCTCTGACTCTCCTGCCCCAAGTCCTCCTCTGAAGAGCTGACCTGCATGTCCCCAGTCCACCCACTGGATTGATTTTAGCTGGGAAGGAAGTGATAAGGCTCACTAGCATGGGATTAATTTATTTTGGAAGGTTCTACAAGGTCTCTATAGCTGATCAAAGGCTGGCACATTTGGGCACTGATAATGGTGTCTCTGAGCTCAGTGTGAACCATCAAAACCCTACAAGAAGCTGGGGCATCTGAGGACTACCAGCCTCGGCTGATTTCCAGTTGTCTGCTGGATGTCCTTGCTACGCACAGCAGCTCTACATGCTATTCAGCCCCAGCAGAGAGTGCAGGCTTGCCCTTCATCCAGGATGAAGGCAGTCAGCTCTGCCCATGTGGAGAACCACCAAGGTGTGTTGGCAGGGCAGAGGAATGGGGCAAACATATTCACTGTGACAGCAGTAGGACCTCCTAAGAACAGCTTAAAACCTCTCAGAGGACAATCCATAAGAATCCAGGATAGCTCTGGGGTCTTGGGTCACTCATATTTTGGATATTAGCTGCTGCTGACACAAGAGGCAGTTCTGTCCTCACCTGGGAGCCAGCCATCAGGACCAGATGCCCAGCCATTGAAAGGATGTTTACAGCATGATCCAAGTGATGGAGAGATCCTGTTATGAACAGCATTGGAACCCAAATTCCTTATTTTATTTTTTTTTCACCAATGGGAGCATTTCTTCAGAAGTGGGTGAACCATTTCCTCTGCAACAGAGCTGAGGTGCGCTAAACCTCCCAGTCTGCCCAGGATTTTACTGCATCTCTGCTCCCTGACCCACTACATGGAGAGTGAGTCCAAGCCACTGCTGGAAGGATGTTCTGACTGAAAGGACACCTGGAGTGCTACCAGCAAACTGCTCACAAACGGCCTCTCATTTTGCAGGTCTCTTCACTGCATGGCTGGGCTGTTCCTTGTGCCTTGCTGAAGTTGTGCCATTTGGAACAAATGTTCCAATGTCTGTCTGTGTGTCTGCCTAACTGTGCAACCCAAGAGCTCTCTGCAAATGATGCTCCCCTCTCTCATCATTTTCATAACTTGGGAACATTCCCTGATAGGGTCTTTTCTCTGCTTTTCCCAAATCTCCCCCTTCCCTCCTTCCTCCCCATCTCCACTCACCCACCCCCCCACCCCCACCCCCCCACCCCCGCCAAGATCTCCCAAAGCATAAGAAGCCATCACCAGAGACCTGGAACTGGATAGCTGCTGGGGGTACAAGGTGTCTGGAAATAGTTGTACAGTTATGTTCTGCATGTTCTCTCCCTCTCTCCCATATGTGACACTGGCATCTGGTTTAGCTTTGGGCAGTTAAAAGTGTGACAAGGAGGATTAAATAAGGTCTTTCATCCATTTCTCTTTCTGCTGCCTAGTCAGCTAAAGTCTACTGGCTTGCAGGGGAAGAAAGGGCAATGGCAGAGGATCTGAAGGGAGGTCATGGGATGAGCACCCCTTCCTAGCAAACCCCTTGAGCAGTGAGCTTGGATCTGGAAAAAGGTTCAACTTTTTTTCTTGAGAGAAGCTGGGGCAAAACCCTGGGCCTGAGCCTCTGCTCAGCCCCATGGTTTTTCTTAGAATTGGTGTGTTTGCCAGCACCAGTGTGCACATGGTGTGGTCATGTCTGTGGCTGTGTGATTCCCAGGTGAGTAACAGCACTCCCAGGGTTTTGCTGTGTGTCAAGCTGCACCCGTTGTTGCTGCCCGCCTTGTTTTTCTCAGGCTGATGAGCTCCTGACTAACGGCAGTCACTGCTGCTTAATCAGGAAGCAATTTAAGGATAACCTTTTCTAATTAACCATCAGAAAGAAGAGTGAATAAACTGTGAAACAGCCAGCTGCCATCGGTGTCCTCAGCCAAAGGGTCTGTCAGGGGGAGAAAATGCCATCTGGGGAAAGGGTGGCAGCTCCAGACCTGCACTGGGCAGGGAAGTGCATCAGAGATGGGAAGGGATTACGGTTCTCCCCAGGACTTCTCTACTTTCTCCTCAGGTACTGCTCTGGTCACGCACATGGGGATCATAATCATCTAGGAAGGGCAGCTTGATGTGTGTAATCAAGCCCCATATATAATTAAAACCCCGGGCGACTCTTTTATTCAGAACTTTTATGCAAATTATTAGTTAATTACCTTATTGTGAAGGTATTCATTGAACCAGGGAACAGCTCGCATAGGAAGGGACCTTGAAAGATAACCTGGTCCAGCCTTTTGTGGGAAAGGGAGCCTACATAAGCTATCTAGCACCCTGTCCAATTGTACCTTGTAAACCTCCAGTGATAAGGACACCACCATGTGCCTGGGGAGACCTTTCCAGTGATTTATTGTTTTCAATGTAAACAATTGCTTTCATATATCAAGATGAAACTTCTTCAAGTGTAACTTGTTGAGCAGCATGGGGCCCAGTATTGTCCTTTGAAGGACCCCACTTGTGACAGGCTGCCAGCCTTAGTAAAACCCATTGATCACTGCCTTCTGCATGTAGCCTGTAAGCCAATTTCCTACCCATCTCACAGACCACCCCTCTAGTCTTTATCTGGCCAGTTCATTCAGGAGGAGGCTGTGGGAAACAGGGCTGAACACTTTGTTGAAGTCCAGGTACCCAACATCCACTGCTCTCCCTATGTACATAGGAATGCTTTTTTGTTGAAGATGATTGGGTTAGTCTGGCATGATCTGCCAGGCTTTTCCTTGTCAGCTGCTTAATTTGGTTTGGGATCATTTCTAGGAAGAATTGCTCTAAGAGTTTCTCCTGTGTTTTTATCTGTCCTTTTTTGGGCCCTCCTTGTAGATAGCTCTGGCGTTTGCCCTCTTCTGGTCATGAAGGTCATCCCTTCATCTCCACCACTATTCAAAACATTATAGACAGTGGCCTTGCACAAATGTCAGCCACTGCTCTTAACACTCTGGGGTGGATTCTCTCCTCGCTACTCACGACAGGGTTTTCATCCTTTCTCATACATTACCACCATTTTTTATTCCCCATTCATAGTCACCCATTTAAAAGCCACGCACACTGGCATATCCGGCCCCCTACACCAGAAGCAGTGGGTGAGAAAGTGCAGCCCTAGCCGTACAGCACAGGGTGCTGTCTGGGCCAGTCTCAGCCCGTGGCCAACAACACGGCCCCTGCACACAGCGTGTGTGCTTGAGCTGAACCTCGATGAGTGTGGCGAGTAGGCTCCCAGAGCCCCTAAGATGGCGTCGGGAGGGGAAGACTACATTTCCCAGCGGCCCCAGCGCCCCGCGCGTAGCTTCTTAGTTCCCGGTATGCCGCACTCTGCGGCTGCTTGGTGCCGCCGGGCGGGAGTGTGAGCTCTGCTGGGAGTTGTAGTGTGTGCGGCTGCGATCCTGGCCTCTGCCAGCCGGTGGGTGCGCGGGCTTTTGGTGGGGAAAAGCGGCCCGGCCGGGGCTGGCCCCAGCGAGGGCTGTAGTGGAGCTCCCGGGGGACAGGAGGGAGCAGGCGTGGACCTTGGCCTCAGTGTGGTGCGGTAGCGGCGGTGCTTGAGGATGGTGGGGGCCCCAGCCTGCGGGGCGGGACCCGGGCCTCAGTGCAGTTTTGGGTAGGGGAGCCGTGTGCCTGGGAAAGGAGAGGGGCAAGGGGTGAGCCTCACTTCCTATAGGGTTATGAGGAAAATAGGTTTCAGTGCTGCAAGGTGGGGAAGTCGCTTGGGGCACGGAGCAGGAAGTAGATGGAGGGAGTACAGCTCTCGGGAGAGGTGGTGGGAGCCAGGTCCTTGCTATTATCATAATGACTTTGGTCTGTGAGTGGCTGGTTCTCGAGGCAGCGGCTGATTCTGCACTTTGGGCTTCAGTATGTATTTGCTACACACATTGTGAGATGCCCACAAACTGGAAGGTGATCAGGAAAGATAGGGTTTTTCCCCATCTTTGCTTTTAGGTATCAGAAATATGAAAAACTTCCACACAGGGCTGTACAGAAATTTATTGCTTTGCTTTCATCTCTTTGCAGGGCTGGTCCTGCAGTGCAGGGTGTCCCAGTGCCTTGGCTGTTTTACCAGTTCTTGCTGGGATTTGTAGGGAAGCATGCTCAGAACTGTAGCAGAATAGGGATTTTCTCCTTTTTCTATATGTTTATCTATGTGGAACTGACAAAGCCCCAGCAGTGGCTGTCAGGATCTGCTTGCTGATAACGGCTCAGCATTGGTCTGACAGCTTTGTTGTACTACTGGGTTTTTGTGTAGGATCAGTTACAGTAATAATTGCTAATAATACTTAGTTATCAATACAATAACCATTTTTGTGGGGAGCACAGTTGAAACTTTGAAACTTCCTGTCTCTTTTTACTGTCTTTTACAGGCACATGTGACTGTGGTTAATTCCTGGTGCAGTTTTGATTCAAATTTATTGCTTAAATTGTTGAAGATGTTCCTTACAGAGGAACAAAAGAGAAGAATTGAAGAGAACCGCCAGTTGGCTTTGGCTAGGAGAGCAGAGAGGTTGGCAGCCCACAGAGGTGGGCACGTGGGGGTTGCTGGACCTCACGTGAAAGAGCAGAGTCCAGGCCATCAGGGAAGCTTGAAGGAAGAGAACAATCATGTCAGATTCATTAGCCAGCACAAACAGAATCCAAACAGTCCCGTGGAGCAGAAGAGCAGTCTTCAGAAAGATTATAATCAGTACACTGCAAACCAACAGATGGCTGGTTCACATGGAGAGCAACAAAAGAATTGTTCACAGAACTCGGAACAAGCAAGTGGCATTAAGCCTACAACGATTGCAAATTCTCTGAGTTATTCCCATAAACATTACGTGGATACTGATGGTCAGGAACATGGACAACAAGCTTTAATTAATCTTGGTACATTCCAGCAGCCCAAATGCTACACAGCTTTCAAAACCCCTACGGAATCATCTCATCCCAGATTACTTGATTACAGGCACCCTGATGGTAGTAAAGATTTACAGAGTCAGAAAAAATCTGCCATAAAATATGTTACACCACCAAGCAGTGCCAACCCGAGTGATACAGAAATGCTGATAAACACAAGGAGACCAAAGGAAAGAGAAGGAGAAGGAGGTAGGATGCAGAAGCTGACCAGCTGTATCAGTGCAGGCTCTACCTTTGAAGCTGCCTCTTGCAAGAAAGGAAATAGTGTTACAAGAGGAAAATGCGTGAAATATGGGGAAGACCGATTTCAGGTTGAAATAGGATATAATGCTGAACTTATTGCAGTGTTTAAGAAGATACCAAGCAAAAGCTATGGTAAGAATTGGTTGTTTGCTGTTATCTGATGTCCCTGCCCATGGCAGGGGGATTTGAACTATAGATGATCTTAAGGTCCTTTCCAACCTTAACTATGATCTCCATTTACGTGCGACTGAAGTTTCAGCATCTGCTGGAACTGTAGTTGCTGTATGCTCTTAGAAGTGTAGCTATTGCTGGGGTAAAATATGTGGTATTAAATAGGGATTGGAAAAGTAAAGACAGCTGAAATTGGAAAGAAATTCTGGGCATATGTAGCTTGGGCTTGGATTTAGCCAAGAAGTTACAGGCCCTACTTCAGGAACAGTGCTCTAAGAAGTGTAGTGACTGCTTGGAGCCTTTGGGAGCGAAAGAAGTTATCATAAATTGTTGTGAGAAAATGGGTCACTACAGCTGAAGTTCAGAGTTGATGAGGTGATTCTGTTAACTGGGTTACTGAGAGCAGTGGAGTCTCCACCTTTTGGCTTGTTTCTGGGCTTTTCTCACTGTCTTTATTTGTTGTATTCCACTTTTGTTTCTCCCATGTGTTGCTGCTCCCTGTGAATGGCTTCTTGGTTTAGTATTGATATTCCCTATGGCTTTTTTTGGTGTCATGTATGTGTAAACTTGAGCATACTGTTTTTCAGATGTGTATAAAAAAAGCTTGCATGAGTAGCTTGAATTCTGTCTTACCTTGCATGAGTGTTTCACACCACTGTGTTTTTCCTGCTACACATGATTTGTATTCTGCCCTATTTTAGATCCTGATATGAAAAAATGGAATTTCAGCCTGAAAGATTACAGCAGTTTCAGTAAGTAAATGATAAATCCAAATCTTGACCCCCTTTCACTGTCTTCCATAATTATTACTTAGTTTTGTTATTGTCTGGAGTAACAAAACCAGTGCTACTCAAACTAATGCCTATCTCTTAGGCATCCAGCTCATAACATTTTTCTGACACTTTGTATTTGATTAGAAATAACTTGATTTTTCATATAATATGTGTAACTTTTTCTGATGTTGCTGAATTTTCCAGTGTTCAACAAGCCTGATCATAGGAAAAGTATCTATTATGCACATACTTCATACGAATCTGTATTGAGAACTGTGTTCTACTTGCTGATGCTTAATTTCTAGGTCTATTCGTGTACTTTCGTTCTAAAGAGCTCTTTTTATGTTTTATTTTTTTGAAAAAAAAGTAACCCCAAACCAAAAACCCCCAAACAAGCCACAGAGTAGACATATTTTCCTGTTAATTTGGGTGTCAGAAAAGGAAAAAGAGTAATTTCTTAGGGCTTTGAGTGAGCCTGAAAATGGATTTGCCTTTTTTTGGCATACCAAGTGTGGTCTTATCTTTTCTTTCTCTCCTGTCATTTTGTTCTGGGAAGATTGAGAGATGATAGAGACAAACACTTCAGGTAAGCTTTTCAAAAGCATATTATATTGAAGTGAGTGATAGATCACTGTTGATTTCAGTGGGAACAGAATTAGGCCCGAGTTGAGCACTTTGAAAAACCCAGAGTTGAGTGCTGGTATTTTAGCTTCCCATGTGGGTTGCCACACATTTATAATTTAAGTGCTGCTGGTTTGCTTGAAGTGTATCACGTACAGATGAGAGCAGAGTCTCTGCACCAAGGAGCTTGCAAGAGAAGAGGATGTTTTTTAGAAATGGGGGGTTTTCCTTAAAGCTATCAAATATGAGTTCTTTCTGGAAAGTTCACGTTGACAAGAGAATACAGTATCTGATCATCATTGGGCAATGATATCAGGAGAAAAATACCCTGAAAAAAGGGAACTGACTTAAAAGGGCCTTGGTTTGAAGACTTGCAAGTGTAAATAGAATTATTTTAAAGGTTCCTACAGTTAATTTTGTTCTTCTGAATAGTGTTATCCTGTACTACATTTATTTCTTTGTACTATAAATAATTAAACATGCAGTCAAACTTAGAAAACAATGTTGGTTTGATTTTGTGGGGGGTTTTTTTGTTTTTTTTTTTTTTTTACAATTCCAGTATTTGTTGTAGAGGTGAGATCTAACTATGTAATGCTACATCACGTCTAAAATCTTTTGCTTGATGCAGTGGGAGTAGAAAGTATAAATTGGTGGCTTCCTAGTCCTCCACTTTAAAAGTTGGTTTCACTTTAATTTTTACATTTTTTTCTTTGGAGTATAAATCTCAAATGCTTGAGTTTATTCTGAAAATGAGTTATTATTCTAAAATAAAGTTGAATTAAGTCCAAATGGTTTATTTATTTATTTCTGATTAGGAAGAAAGTGTCTGAATTTATTTCTTCCTCTTTCCCTTTTCAAATACTAACACTGAACTTAGATTTTGTATGTTTTTGTTTCATATCAGTAAGCTGGACTATTTAAAAATAAGCAGAATGGATCATGATGTGCAGCTTAATGCTGAAATGACTGGATTTGTGCTAAAAAGCTACCTGATAGGAAGGTTGCTTCTCTCTACAAATACATGTGCTTAGGGGGCCCCTTGCTTTTGAGTCTAATGGACTAGAGATGTTAATGAATCTTTGTTTTACTGTAGTACCTATGAGTTGGAGTCTTGGGATGAATTTCATGATTTGATGCTGTAAAAATATAAGAAAAGAATTATTCTTAACCATCACAGTTTGGCTGTAATAATAAAGACAACATATGTGTGTAGATTGGCAGAGGAGCACAGGGAGAAGTGGAAAGTTTACTAGTGTGGGTAATTGTGGTTTCAGGCTAACAGTTGTAAAATGCTGTGTCCCCTCTCTGCCCATGCCACAGCATCATGACAGAGGTGGTTGCTAGTCAGCAGTAAGATTGGAGGGCAGATGGTTGTGGGGAAGTAAAAGTCTAAGACACAGTAGAATAAAGGGTTATGGACTTAAATTGTAATGAAAGAGCCTGGGGGTTTGGACTAGATTCCTTCCTGATACCCTTCCTAAAGGATTGTGAACATACAGCAGCCCTCCTAGATGAGGTTGCATATCAGACACTGACATGAGGCAGGAGGCAAATATTTTTAGGTCTTTCTCCTGTGCTGTTTGCAGAAGTAACCTTCCATCTTTTAAGGCACACGCTATTGATCACTGTGCCCCTATCCCTGTGACTTCATAAGTGAAAATGCTGTGTGGCTGTGAGTAATTTACTGCTCATGTAAATCTGCAGATTGCTTCCCCTGCCCTAATAAGCCACATTTTTGGAATTGCCTATAGGGAGCCTAATACAGTGACAGTGCTGGACAGGCCCTTGTTCACCTAGTGTCACATATGCCTTCTGCCCCTGCTGTATTCTCTATGGAAAAATCCCATCAACCTGCTCCTCCAGGTCATCACTCTCTCTAGTCCTTAGCCCTGTGAGTGAAAGCAGGGAATTGTCATGCCTTTTAAACTTGAAGGTACATGATTTGTTTGTCATCCTCCTGTCCTGTATCTTCCCAAACCATCTTTAGTTCATCAGTGTTCTTTGTTATTAATTCTTTTCTCTGTATCTCGTGTTTTCTCCCTAGTGGAAACAGCAAATCAACTTTCGTCAGTAATTCTGGCACCACTGGAAGGAGAAAATGCAGTTGGCTCGGCATCAGGCTCTTGTTTTGCTGGCAATAGGATTGATGTGAAATCCCTCTTGAAGATGTGTAAGAACTGGAAGAAAACCTCAGCCTGTGTCAAAGGGAAGTGTGTGCTGATCTCTCGCTTGCGGTTTGAGGTTGATATTGGATATTCTGCAGAAGTAATTGGAGTGTTCAAGCAAATGCGTTCCAGAAATTATGGTAAGTCTGTTGTTTCTGCTTTATTCTAATTACATTGTTTGGGCTGCTTTTGGAATGCTGTGAACATTTCAGAGGAGAGATTATAAGAGTACATCCTTCTAAAAGAACATAAGAGGTTGTGCTTTGGTGAAGATTTTGAGCTCCCGTAGTTATGGCATAGTGATACATCTGTGTTCTGCACTCCATGGCAGAACATGTACTCTTCTGGGCCAAAGTGATACTTCAGGACTCAGCACAATTATATTTACTGTTGAAGTTGGGTGTGCTGATAATTTGCCAGAAGTATGAAGACCATGCATAAGTTCTTGTCTTTATCATCAGATGCAGTTTGACATTCCTGTATTTCTTTTTTTTCTGTGATGTATAATGACTGCGAGTGCCTGAGCAGATCCAGTTTACCAGCAGCTTTACTGATGTTTCTGGGGCAAGTGGAACTGTAGAGTGCTTCTCTCTTGGCATTCAGATTTCAATGGGAAATACCGTTTTTTTCCACTTGTAATGTGGGAATTGAGGCACAGAGTAATGAGATGACATGTGCCGTGTCACAGGAGGTCAGTGACAGCATGGGGAGCAAACCCTGGGGCTCTTGTTTGGGCAGGACCCCAGCTGGCTCATTGTGTCTTTAGCTGACTGAATTCACTCTGCCTTCCCTGGAACTTGTAGGCAGATGCTGCGCAGGCACAAACCTGCCAGACAAGTCTTCAGGTTACATTTTGGGTATTGATGAGTTGGTTAATGTCCTCTGTACCATCCTGAGCGCATCCTTTGTAAGATACAGAGGTAAAATTGAAAGCAGTGGTGTTACTGACGGAAGCTAAAATTTGTTGGTTGACAAATAAGACCCTTCACAGATATTCTTCATCCTTTCTTGCAGTGAAAAGAAAGTGGTTGCCAAAATCCTTGGGCAGGTGGGTTTTTTGCAAAGGTTCGTTAGGCGAGCTGGCCTTCGCTTGCTCTGATGATACCACCACTTCTAGATGTGTACTCATACTTTTAGTTGTACTTCAAACTGCTTAATGTAAAAGTAAACAGAGGAGAATTGATTGCTGGATAAGTAAAAATTCTTTTAAAGCAGTTCTGAAACGCAGAGGATATAGCTGGATAGCCATGTTCTTAGGGACAGAGAATTCAGTCTTTTAAAAAAGACTTATGACAGTGTTTGTAACTATTGCAGATACCAACACCAAAAAGTGGAATTTCCTGCTGGAGGACTACCCCAGACTAAGTGAGTAGCTGCATTTTCCTGGCTAGGGCTATTTTCTGGGGAGGCAAATTAATCCTAACTTCATTTCTCAGGCTAAGCCTTTTCACTGTGGGGAGATAATTTGCTAACGAACTGTGAAGCAGGTGTCTTCCTGTTTTATCAGACATTTATACTGTTTGTCCAGACTCAAAATTTTATAAATGTGTGTTATTCATGGCAGTCCTTTAGGGAACCATTGGGAAGATGGATCTGTTTTGTCAGATTCTGCACTGAATTCCTGTGCTGTTTTTTAGAGCTCATGGATGTATTTGCTGTCACAAAGTTAGCTCTACTTGAACTAAGGAGGTGCAGGAAAATGGATTCCTCTGTTCACATTTGCCAAATTTGAAGAGGTCAGTGTGGTGGCTGCCAAGCCTTCCTGTCCTTACAGAAATTCTGTCTTACTCTTTTTAGCTGTACTGTCCTTAGCCTCAGTGCCAGCCCGCATTACTCCCATTTATGCGTATATCAATTCATAAACTGGCACAGGCACCCCTTGCTTAGAAAAAAAAACACAGGCTGTCTTACTTCCAGTTCTTTAAGCACTTTGCACGGTATTGTGCTATTTCATTTCACAGCACATTTTGTGTTTCAGGTCAGAGTGCTAGATTTTCAAGTGAAATAATTTCTGTAACAACCAGCTCATCCACAGTTACAAGTCTAGTTGCTGCCTGGCTGATTTTGTTCAGCCTCCTATGTTACAGCTGGTAGTAATGGCTTTGGAGGCAGCACACAACTGTTATGTTTTTAATTGATGCACAAGGCAGGTTAGGATTCAGATTGCTTCCATAGCTGAGTTGATTCTAAGCAAATAAGAAGAGCTGCTTGTTTCTCTTGCAGAAGTGTGCAGATCTGATTGAAGCAGAGGCCTTCATCTTGAAGAAGTGTTTCATATTTCATATTTCATAGAAATCCAAATTTATTTGAAGCCAGTTGATGGATGCTTAAAAGGAAGCTTAGCAAAAAAATCTTTTTAAAAAAGCATTGTATTTTCCCCTGCACGTGGATCTAAGCACATAGTGTTGCTGCAATGTTCATTTCTTGATCGAAGTTGACCATTAGACTCCTGCCTTTATGCATCTGTGTAATGCTGGTGAAACTGACTCACTGATCTAAAATGAAGAGCTGTGGTTTGTTGTGTTTTGTTGATTTTTTGTTTGTTTGGTTTTTTTATAATGGATGACACTTTGAGGAATAATGCAGTCTCAGCAGCATGCTCCTACTACATCTGCTTCTTAGTTTATGTTTAGTTACGTTTACGGAGTGCTTTGAGATGAATAGCATTATGCAAGTCCTAAGTATAATTATTATATATCAACCCAGTTGACCTTCTGTGTTTGACTTGGTACTTGTGTGAAGCTGTGTGGCTGTGGAATTTGATTGGGGTAAGCTTCAGGCAGATAATAAGAAAGGTTCTCCACATGTCACACTTTCTAAGTGTAACAGCCGAAATACTGTTGCTCAGAGGAGTTTTCCTCTAGCATGAGCTCCTGCATCCACAGGATACTGAAGTGTGTTTAATAATTGAATATCTGCATGCTCCTATGATGCATGTAATGCAGGGCCTTGTAGGAATGCCAGATCTTGAAAACATGTGGGTGTGTTTTGGTGGAGGCTATTGGGAAACTCCAGGATGGGATGCTGACAGACCCTGATTTTGTGAGAGCTGCCCATCTCTCACAATTTGCTGTAAGTGCCTTTTTTATGTCCATAGGGCCTGATCCTGTAGCACGTGGTAGGCAGTATGAACAAAACCATCATCTCCCAGTCTGTCACTCTCTCAGCCATGCTGGCTGATAGTTGTATACATAAACATCATGTGAAGTATTCAGAATCCTACAGGTTTGAGGAAGGAAAAAAAAATGAAATTTCTTGCAGGGTGTAATTTGTGAGGGCATTTGAGGCTTCTGGCACATGCCTTTTTGAGGAACAGCATTTGCTTTCTGCCTGTTTGTTTACCTACATCAAAATAAAAGATTTTTTTTAAAGGCTGGTTGCCATTTCCAGCAGAGAGATCTGTTTGCTGGTAACTGTGGAGGTTAATGTCTCTGCCTAGTTGCTCAGTCATCTTTATGTAAAGGTCACTTCAGTAAAAAATGTCTGTGGGATGAATCATGCTGGTGGCAGATACATCTTAATCACTCTCCCAGCTCATGTACAGAACAATAGCAACAGAATTATCAGTGAGCAAATTGTAGCAATTATGCTAACACACAGCTCAGTCTGTGAGTGTAATAACAAGCTTGTGCTGCACTTTGGGTGGAGAGAATTCCTGCTATTGAGGAAGTATAAAATAAATTGGAGAGTTTAAAAAGTTTGGTTGTTGCCCAACCACAAATGGAAATCTTTTCATATGGATATTTCTTGGAACTGCTTTCCCCTTTCATATGGCAGGGCTCCATCCTGCTGCTTTCCTCTTGGAGATAGCTGAAATACAAATACTTAACTGGATTTAGGAGGTGCATTTACTGCTGGTATAGTGAATGCTTGTTTCAGTTATTTTTGCAAAGAGTTGTTTTATGTCTTTCTGACTTCATACACAAACCAACCTGCAGTGAAGGACCTGTGCACATGTATTTGGATTCCTAGTGTAGAACTGTCTCGTATTTCTCAGTCAGTGGTCAGAGATTGATTGCTAAACATGTTTTCCTCATCCCAAATCACTGCATGTTTTAAACTGGTATTTGTTTTCATAAAAATCTGTTGTTGGATTAATAAGAAATACTTTTACCTTTCTGGGGTGGGATGTAGGTGGCTGGAGGGGACTGAAATAAGGTTGTCTAGAAGGAGAGTTGCTCTGATGCTCTGCTTGTTGTGATGCATGGGTTGAAAAGATGAAGGCCCAAGGTCTTTGCATAATGGGGGCTGGGGATCTCTTTAGTTTGATTGGGAAGGCTTTATGCTGTAGATAAAACTGAGAGGCTCCATGGCTGAAACAACAGTGGTGGTGAGGGACTCAAGTGACTGCCTATGGGCTGGTTCTGGCTTGCAAGCTACTCCAGTCCAAGAGAGCAGCAGTGGATAATAGCTCAGCAGGGAGTTGCTGTTGGTACTCTGTCCCTGAAGGATGGCTGTCAAAGTACTGCTAATGGTGGTACAGGAGCAGTTTTTCTGAGTCTTGAGGTGCTTCCTGTTTTCTTACCCAAATGTGGTAAAAGAGGGGTCATAAAGTGGAGACAGAGCCCAACCTGTGTGAATTTGAGAAGAGAGTTTTCAAAGCTGAAGTTGTATGATATTCTTTAGGTAACTGTGTCTCGGGTCACTCCTGATCACTCAGAGACAGTGGAGACCTCACGTGTTTAATGCATAATCCCAAGGTCAGGATAAAGATGCCCCTGCCTTCTAGGCTTCAGGAGCTCTTTTGTTCAAATCAATACTTTTATTTATGACTATAGTGTGCCCTAAGCTGCACTCAGTGTGAATAATCCAGCTCCAGCTGTATTAGTAGCAATCATCTCTGAATGATGGCATCAGACTCGGGGTTGTTTTGTGTTTTTCTTATAAAGAAGTCTAAATATGAGGGGAGGAGATGTGATTCATCATGTGGCTCTGAAATAGACTTAGGGAAGAGGCCAGGTCAACATCTGTGCATGATGCAGTACTTTCTTGAGCTGTTTCAGGGTAGGAAATAATATTGTTAATGAGGCTGAGAGTGTTCCCTAACATCCATAATGTAAGTTGTGTGTATGTTGCCCCTTTCTGATAATAAAATGCTCTGTTCTTTGCAGTGGAAGTGTTACAGAGCCTTGTGTCAGTAGAAGTGGAGCCACTGCCAGAGGCAGTGATACAGGCCTTTGCTGCTCAAATACAGAAAACTACATCACAGACAGACGTTCCTGATGCTGACCTTTCAGTAGTGGACTCCAAAATCGTGAAGAGCCTCATGCCCTTTCAACGGGAAGGTGTGAAGTATGTCCTTTTTGCATGCTATTAAGAGCTAGTCCTTGCCTAGAATTGTGTACTCCATATTGGTACCCAGACTGCATCCCCTTCTATGGAGGGTTCAGCATTACCTCAGAGTCTTGGGCTGTTATGCTCTGTTGCTCAGGGCTCTTAGTTATTTGGTGTGGTATGGTTTGTTTTGTTGGGGTGTTGTTGTGGATTTTTTTTGAGTGGCACATCTATTCTGTTTGTACCTAAAATTCTTTATCACGAGTCATTTTGCTAGTCTCATAAAATTGTTCAAATGATACATTTCTGATCTCCCTCTGGTGAATCAGTGTGTGCCGAATTGTCATATGATTTTTTTATAAGTTCATCGGTTTTTGTTTGGTTTTGTTGTGGGTTTTTTTCCAAGTACATCTCTTGTTGTTTTTTGAATAATAACTGCACATGGGAAAGTGCCAGCAAATGGGACCCAGGCACTGGAAGATTTCAAGTGGCTAATTGTATGTAGAGATAAACTTTTAAATGGCCCTGTCACCATCACATATGGTCATTAGTTGTTGATTTCAGGATACAATCCATGAAAGCCTGTATTTACTGGTGTTAAAAGGGTGCTGTTATTAATATTTTCTTAGCTCAGCCAGGATGAGCTCTGGGACAGAATATGAGTAGTATCGTGGAAAGAATGTGCTTTAAGTAACTGTAGGTTTTGAGTACTCATGAAATCAAAGTCTCTAAAGATGGGTTGAACCACTGCTGAGGAGCTTTCAGCTCCTTTTTTGAAAGGTTTGTGAGACTTGCTCACTTGTGTTAAGACTAAGGGAAGAGCTCCAGGTTTACTGAAGAACCCAGATCACTTCCAGGTGATCCACATTATAAGCTTGGTGGCGAGTTGTGCTCATCTTGGCTGCCATGATGCATAGTAATCCAGTTCTTGACTCTTACTTAATTCCCCTCTCTCTTTTCCCCAGCTTTGCAATTTTAAGAAACGGACGTTTACTAATTGCGGATGACATGGGCTTGGGCAAGACTGTTCAGGCGATCTGCATTGCTGCATATTACCAGAAGGAATGGCCTTTGCTGGTGGTGACTCCTTCTTCTGTGAGGTTTACATGGGCAGAGGTACCATGAGCTTGAGTGTGCTCAGGTGGCTGTTAGAGAGCATGTGTGGTGGTTGTGCTGTGCTGCACTCTGTATAAGTTAAAATTTTAAAAATACGTGTGTTAAGGGGGGGAGAGGGGAATTGCATGGCACTGACTGTATGGTATACACATATTTGATTTTATTGGCTGATTTTCGTTTTGTGGTCCAGATGATCTGCTGGAAAGAAGGACATGTAGAGAAAGTATCTCCCTGACCCTCTGTTAACTTAGAGCCAGCTGACTTGCAGGAGCAAATGCGGTTGTTCTACTCATCAGTGCCAAAGACAGCAATTGCATTCAAGCAATTCTCTGTTGTAGAGAATTCTTCAAGTCCTTCATAGCAATATTTGCCAGTTCCTTGGCTGGAATAGAAGCCCAGATGCTGGGATTCTCCACTTTGTTGAAGAGGTTCTATTCTCATCAACATTAAGTGTCTGTCATAATATCTTTTGGCTTGTCCACTGTGTGCTGCTGACTCCTCTGAGTCCTTTATTAACTATCAGAAGCCCAAGAAAGCTTGCATAGTTGGGAAATGTATCTTGAAATAAATCCTTGTAATGACTTTTAGACTGAGACTGTTGAGTTGCCATAGGATAGCGAGATGTTCACTGTGGGAGAAAAAGGTGAGCCAGAGGTTCTAGGTCAGTAATTTCATGCATGAGCAAGAGGGGGTGGGAGTTTAGCTTTCCCTGGAATGTTGCATTGATGAGAAGCGTATTGATTGGGATTTGCTGGTTTTGTGCTGTAGCTGGTTGTTAGAGTATCTTAGTGTTTGTTTTTATGTCCAGTAGTGCAACAAAATGTTGGGCAACAGGAAAATTGTTTTCTGAACAAAGAAGTGATGCTTACCATGTTTGATATTTCAAAGGCTTGTAGACCTCTGGGTCAACATGTAAATTCAAGGCTTCTGTGGGATACCTACTGGTAACAATCTGGGCCCTGGTTTCCTGAAGTACTGGGCACCCACCAGCTAAACTGTGGTGTCCTTCAAGAGAGTTAAGCAATATGAGGTGGGGTGGGTTTTTTTTTTTCCTTCTGTGAGTGCTTCCTTCCCCTACTCCCAGGATGCTGTTGTAGGAGATGTTTCGTTAGGATGTTTGCTTTAGAATGAGTTGTGTTGCATTGTGTGAATGTAAAAAGTGCAAGTCTAATTAAAGTGTGTCACAGTAGAAGACGGTGCAGTTCATTATTGTCTACTCTGTCCATTGTTGTACACCTGTGTTTTACTATAATAGTAGAAAGTTTTGTGGTGCCTCTGGAGCTGAATTGCCAAAAATTGTCTTAATTTCAGAGTTGTTAGCATTTTATTTTGGCTTTCTGGGCTCAGGCCACTGGGAGCCTCTGTGTTCAAAGCGCCATAGGAAGCTGGCAGGACAATGTCAGGTACTCTGGATGAGAAGTACTGCAGCCATACACATTTGGAGTTTGGCAACGGAACTTGAATAATTAATGTTCAGAGCAATTTCAAAGTACTTCTTGTTGACAGAGGTCAACATCAAGTAATAAATACAGGGTCACTTTTATGGTGTGAGCTAGTCGTGTGCCTTCATAAAAGGAGAGGGCAGTACAGCTAGGAGCTTTCATATACTTCCCTGTTGCTGCTGCATTGTGTTTAAGTTTTGGCTTAGTGTTAGTCACATAGTTTTTGGTTGGGATCTAACTTTGTCCACTTGTTGGCCCATTTTTTTGTTGTGGTGCTTGTCATAAGTGGTGAAGGATAGTTAATTGTTAGTTTCTCACATACTGAGAAATGTGAGAAGCTCACATTTAACTCCTCTGGCTGCTGCATGTGGTTACTGAACAGAGGAGAAGAATGATACCTGGGGGAGTTCCACAAGTGAAGGGCCTAGAGGCAGAGATGCCATTTCTCATCACCACTTGGATACATTTTCCTAAAGAGAAGCAGATCCTGATTGCTGAAGCCGTAGCCTTTCTCTGCAGAGCAACATCAGCAGAACTAAAATGATGCAGAGAGGTTGGTGTCAATTGGGACACAATAACAAGGGAAATGGTGGGTGCTCAGTAGCTAACAGATGGGTTTGGGGGAGGATATCTTGCTCTGGTGTGTGGAGCACTTCAAGAGGTTGATTTGAATGACACATGTATTTCAGCTGCTATCATAGAGCAGCTGGTGTGTTGTCAACTTGACCTTTTCATTTTGTTTGTTTGTTTGGAGTATTTTTTTATAGATGCTTTAAGAAGGAGAGGTAGTGGATGATTTTTGTCGATCTGGATGAGTTGTACTTCATCCTCACTGTGGAGTAAACATTGCTATAGTGAGAGATGTTTACCTCTTAAAAGTTTGTGCTTCACAGCCTGAGTTTGCTGTTTGGTGGGAAAACTGAACTTCCCTGTTAGTAGTTGTCACTATCTCTGGCTCTGAGCGAAACAGGTAACACTGTCAGAAGGTTATGCAAATTTCTATTACAGATCAGATTTTGGTTTTCAATAAGAGGGAAGAATAGAGCATGTTTGAGCCTTCCTAGCTATGGAAGATAGATTTGGCCTTATAGTTTTGTTCTTTATCTTCCCACTACTAGGGTTGTTTCCTTGGAGAGACTGTTTAGCCTTACTGTGCTCCAAGTTGATGTCTAGTGGTGGGTGGGGTGGCTCCATGTTCTAAGCATTTCTAAGAATGCTTTGTGAAGCGCTTTGAGATCCTGACAGAGAACATAAGCACCAAAACACAATGAATTGCTTTCCTCTTCCTTCAGGCATTTCACAGGTGGCTTCCATCCTTGAGTCCAGGTAGCACCAATGTCATAGTGACTGGCAAAGACAACCTAACAGCAGGCTTGATCAACATTGTCAGCTTTGACCTCCTCAGCAAGATGGACAAGCAACTTCAGAGCACTTTCCAAGTAGTTATTATTGTAAGTGGTACACTAAAATTTTGAAGTTAATTGTATGCTGCAAATGGGGTGACCTTTGTGTTGTACAGTGGAGAAATGCAAAGCAGGTGTTATTTAAGACTGAAACTGACTCATAATTGGGGCTGCGATCATAGCTGTCTTCATGAGTAGAAGTAGGAGGTTTCCCTGAAACCTTTCAAGATAACTAGTGGAGTTATTCATTTATGATTTCTGAAGCTGTGTTTTCTCTTTTACTTGTTATGGTGCCCCTCTGATTACAGTGTGTTTGGGCATGTCCTCTGCTGGAGAGAATGGTAGTTAATATGGTGCTTCAATACAGTAGTCTTGGAATTGTATCTTTTAAGGGGATTGGACTTCAGGGTGGTATTAGTGTTTATCTGGTAAACCAGATAATGTCTCAACATCAAGTATGTGGATAAAGCATAAAAATACCCCACCCTTTGCTTGTGTTCCACTGACAGTCTGTATTAAGTCTTCTTTGATCACTTGTATAATTTCTTTTGTAAAGTACTTTAAATTTAACCTTTTATAGAGTGTCGTGGTTTAAACCCAGCCAGACAGCTTGTGCACTCACTCCCAGTGAGTGGTGCTGGGCTGGAAGCAGTCGAGGCCCGTGTCCTCCCCCGGGGGCTCCCCCCCTTCCCCGCTCCCGGAGAGATGGGGAGGAGAATCAAAAGAATGCAACTCCCATGGGTTGAGATAAGAACAATCCAGCAACGAATGTACAACACAAATCACCACTGCTACCACCAACGACAACAATGATAAGAGAAAATAGCAAGGGGAAAGAATACAATACCACTCATCGAAAAACGAGTCTGACTCAGAAGGCCCCTGTACTTCCGGGTAACTCCCAGTTACCACGTGCTGTGGTATGGAATACCTCTTTGGTCAGTTTGGGTCAGGTGTCCTGTCTCTGCTTCCTCCCGGCTTCCTCTCCTCCTTGGCAGAGCATGAGGCTCACAAAGTCACTGGCCAAACCAAAACATTGTTACCAGCTCTGTTCCCAGCCAGAAAGTCAAAACACAGCACTGCACCAGCTACCAAAGAGAAAAAATGACTGCTACTGCTAAACCCAGGACATAAGAGTCATGATAAAGTGCAGTTTTCTAGATTTCTGTTACTAGAAACTCAAAACATCTAGTGTTTCAAATCCAGCTTGGATCAATAGAGACCAAAAGTGTATCTCTAGCTTAGTGTGAGTGTTTGATGTTCTCAGTCTAGTTTTCAGCACACATATGCACCTGTCCCTAAGATCATGACAATTAGAATGTAATAATCCTTTTGTTTCTCATCATCAAAAGGGAATGTGGGAATTGATGGAGTTCTCTGGAGATCAAACTACTTATGGGGAAATTGATTCCCTCCCCCCTCCATTTTTATTTTTTCCCCTGCCCAGTCCCTGACAAGCTATTCTGTCAGGGTGGAAATGTGAATTGTTACTTTCATATGGTGGTGCTTGGAGTGAAGGGTCTTGGGCTCTAGGACTACTGCCCTGAAACCATGAGATGGCATATGTTCTTTCTGTGTTCAGATTTGGAACCTGTATATATTTTTACAGATGAGAGTAGACTTAATGAGTGCTGAGCTTCCCTGCTTTTTCTCACAGTCTTCTTTTGACGTCTGGGAACATTAATGTAGCTTATTTGTTAATCAGAAGGGAGAAGGCAGTGCCTGAGAGGCTAACCAGTTGTGTTGTCTTTTCATGCATGGTCACGTGCTCATCCACAAGTGTAAAGATGAGAATGTACCCTTAGAGGTCACCCAGTACTTTTTGTGTCTAAGTTCTGTCTTGCTACAGCAGTAGAAATGAAGACTGTCTCAAGTAGGAGGTTGTTAATCCACCTGGTGAGCCCTATCAGCAGAACAGTTGGATCCTAAATAGATTCTTTTTTTTTCGCCCTCATCATTTTCATTAACCCCTTACTTAGGGAAGTGGCACTGTATAGGCCTCCTATATTTTCTGCATTTAAAGGACACACAGGGGCAAATGAGTATTGGTGGTAGAAATAATGTTCTTGTTTCTCCTTCCCTCTCCAGCCCCCTCTCCTCACTTGTATCTGGTCATTTGAGATTCATAGCCTTAAGGTTTGATTTCTGTGCTGTTTGCTTGCCACTGTGGGTTTGAATGTAGGAAAGTCTGTTATTCCCCATGCTGTCTTTTCACTTAGGATTTGATATGGCTATCCCAGGGCTTGAAATATCCTCTGGGATGATAGGCTTGAAATATTAGGTAGCAGAGATTACTGGGAATTTCTCCTGTAGCCTGCAGTTGGACTATGGCTCAGAACTGTCTTCACTTTTGTGCTTGTTTCGTTTCAGGATGAATCGCATTTCCTAAGGAACATAAAAACTGCACGATGCCGGGCTGCCATGCCTCTACTCAAGGTGCGTGTTCTGGGTGCTAAGCCTCTAGCAGCTAAGGTCAGGCTCCCAAAGCAGTGGTTGCTCCAGTTACCAGGTTTAGGAGCCAGCAGATTAATTCTGTTGCGCAAGTGGAAATCCAGGTAGTGGTGTAGATCCCAGAGCAGAATTTGTCTCTGGCTTAGTCACTTGTTTCCATACAAATGTTAGATAGTAAAACCTAACAAAAGAACTTCAGAAGTACTGCCGCTGATGAGTTTTATGGTGATGGGAAAAAGGGAATATCTTACTGGATGGGAAAACTTCCTGGATGTGTTCAGGGAGAGCAGAAAGAATAGTAGTATCAGTGTAGCTTGTTTAATAATCACTAACGGTTACTTCTTGACGCACAAATTGCTGCTGTATATCAAAGTGACATTACATAGGTTTGTTGCTTGGCTTTGGTTTAGGGCTTTACTCTGTTCCTGCAAGCATTCAGTGAATTTGTGTGGCTGGGGTTCAGGAGCACTCCTGCTGGTTAAACGTACAGAGCTAGTAGGAAATGGCAAAATGTGGGGTTAGCAAGACAAGTGGCCCACATGGAAGGAGGCAATATTCAATTATGCAGTAACAGGAGAAATGTAAGTTTTCATGTCTACCTGTTGTCCTGGGATCAAAGACTCAAAAATCTCCCTGGTAGCCTTTAGCAGATTAAAGTTACCAGTACTTTTAGATACTAAAGAGTATTAGAACATGTACATTAGACCAAGGAAAATGCAGTTCCTCTTCAGCAGTTATCAGCAAGTGTGTATAAAGAGATTTGATCTGTGATGGCTTTATTGCAACCTACTTTTATATGAAAGATTCTTAATGGCAAGCTGAAGGTGGTTGTCCTTGAATAGCTTCATTGTTCCCTTTAAAGGCCTGACTCTTCTCTTGGCTTTCAAATCACTTCAGGTTTGTAACATCTGGAAACTTAAGTAGGAAGTCCAATTTTATGAACAGTTTGAATTACAATAATTAGAGTATATATCTGAAAACGGTGGAAAATAACCTAATTGGAGGAAATTCCTCATGGAGGAAAATTCATCTCTTTACAAAATCCTCAAAAAGTGGTCTCATCCTTTCCTACTTGTAGCTTTGTAAGGATCAGCTTGTCAAAATTATTTGCAGGCTAAAAGATATGAGAATGAAAGATGGTAGCTTTTAGGCAGAGGTTAATTGCCTTTATGCACTTACTGAGAACTTACCATTTTATGCTGCCACATCACTGGTCTTAAAGAATTGAGAACTGGTGCTTCTGGATTTCAGTGTTCTCTAAGCATAAGATTTTTGTGTTCATATCATGTATTATCTCACCTGTAAACAGCATACAGCACCAGGTAGTTTGAGGTAGATGTTTAGGTAAATTTTATTCTGCTTGCTGACTATAACTTCTAAAGTGAGTATTTGCTGTAATAGCTACTCTTTTGCCCTCCTTGTTTTCCAACACAGGTGTTTTCTTTAAATAAAGTCCCTTTGGCAGCTTTATCTTCAAGTATTAGTGAGTGATGCTGTGTTCAGCATGTCACAGCTATTGGCACAGCATGTCACAGCAGTGCTTTCGTATTTGAATGACTGCCAAAATATGAGGCATTTTCATCACTTGAATACTAGTTTTAACAACCGTACTGTGTCATCTTTTTAGTAAATAGTCAATGAGGTAAAAATTGAGTATTTTTAGTATTTTACGTGGCGCTTTGAGATTATTAAATAAAAGACATTGATAAACATGGAAACATGCTGCTGGGAGAGAATATTCTTGCTCTTGCCTTCTTTAGGTTAAAAGGATTAGAGCAGTACTGGGGCCCTTGGAAGAGACCAAGAAAACATGCATTCATAGGTCACCCCTTGATAGGTATGCAACTCCTAGCACCTCAGTCTCTAGCTTAAGGTGACAGTGTGAAGCCATGCCAGTGCTGCAACCAAAGCTGCTGGAGCCAACTCGTGCATTGTCTACCTTCTGAGCATTGCCACAAGCATTGCCATTTCTAACTGTTGTTAGCATTATACTACTTTAAACTTTCTGAAATTGCCATAGTTGTTTATATCTCCAACAAAGTTCCCAACATCCTCATCCATGTAAGCTTAGGTTTGGCCTGAATTTTGGGGCCAGAGAAGGAAAGAAACTCAACACCTAAGAAATGTGATTCTTGGTCCTTACATGCTACAGACACTTGAGTCCATAATGACACTGGACAGATCGAAGCTAAATTTTTTCTAACCCTGAAATGTTTCTGTTACTTCCATCCATACTTAATGGATTCTTTTCACCTTGATGGAATCTGCTCCTGTGACTTCTCCATTTGAATAATAAGTAACATATAAAAATTGTTGTGTTTAGGCAGAACTGCACAATAATCAAATCAATACATTAATAATAAAGATGACTTACCTTGAATATTAATTTTGAATCTGCCTTGTTAGCCAAGCTGAATCTCCACTTCTGAAATACTTAACCTATGGCTACAGCATTTAAAGCTTCATTTTAGTTTTAATATCTGACACTTACTGTTTTTCAAATTGAAGTGGTATTTTTAGTCAGTAAATAATTAATCTTTTTCTGCTTCCTTGCATATATAGAATCATAGAATAGTTAGGGTTGGAAAGGACCTTAAGATCATCAAGTTCCAACCCCCCTGCCATGGGCAGGGACACCTCGCTCTAAACCATATCACCCAAGGCTCGTCCAACCTGGCCTTGAACACTGCCAGGGATGGAGCATTCACAGCCTCTGTGGGCAATCTATTCCAGTGCCTCACCACCCTAACAGGAAAGAATTTCCTCCTTATATCCAATCTAAACTTGCCCTATTTAAGTTTTAACCCATTACCCCTCGTCCTATCACTACAGTCTGTAATGAAGAGTCCCTCCCCAGCATCCCTATAGGCCCCCTTCAGGTACTGGAAGGCTGTTATGAGTTCTCCATGCAGCTTGTCTTCTCCTGGCTGGAGCAGCTGGAATATCTCTACATTGCTCCGAGCATTTATTATGGGTGTGTTGAGATGGCATGATGCCCCCCTCCTCCAACACATCTAGTTTAAAGCCTCCTTGACCAGTCTGGCAAGCCTTCTACCAAAACTGCTCTTCCCCTTCTTTTATCAGACCAGCTCCACCATCTCCCGCTAGACCTGACCTACAAACTTGGGTCCCATGTTCATGACACCCAAACCCCTGACTATGACACCACCCTTTTAACCATTTATTAACCTGGCTAATCCTCCTAGCTTTTTTTAGGTCCTCCCCTGTACCCTGGAGAATAGACGAAAAGACTATCTGAGCTCCAGAGCCCGTAACCACCTCTCCCAGGGCTCTGTAGTCCTTCTTTATGCTCCCCAGGCTACTACTATCTATATCCCTAGCACGCTCATGTATCACCAGAAGCAGGTAATAATCCGTGGGGCTTACTAGAGCAGGCAGCCTCTCTTCCACATCCCTGATCCATGCCCCTGGTAGGCAACGCACCTCCCTTAAGACCGGGTCAGGCCAACAGACGAGTGCTTCTGTCCCTTTCAAGGTAGAATCCCCTACTACTAAGACCCGCCACTTTTTCCTGGCAGCACCAGCAGAAATCTTCTTTACTAGTGCATCAGCCGGCTGTTTCTTGCACAAGTGAGTTTCCTCATGAGCCCCCTGCAGGACAGCAAAGTGGTTCTGCTTGGGGGCAACAGGTTTAGGAGGAAGTCCCTTGCTTTTAATTGTCCTTTTCCTCCTTTTTTTGGTTTTTTTTTTTTTTTTTGTCACCAATTCCCAGCTTCGCGGGTTAACAACCTCTTTCTTTCCTCATGAGCTACAGGGGAAGCTTGAGGACCCTGCACAGTTTGGGCTGGGAGCAAGCATTCCTTCTTCCTCTCAGCTACCCTGACATCTTGTAGCCTATTAATAGCTTCCTGCAGTTCAGCCACCTGCTGCCGGAGAACCTCCACCAGGGAGCACTGAGTGCAGCCCTGCCCATTGTGCACGTTTCCCTCACAGGACCAGTGCAGGCACTGTCTGCACCCCGAGCTCTGCGCTGCAGCCTCCCTTCTCATCGGCTCTGTCTGGGTGCCTACGCTGGCCACCACAAAGCTCCCAGACCAGGCCCTGGTCATACGGCGAGTGCTCACCATCCCGCTCGCCTGCCCGCACAAACTGCCTCGACCCGCTCTGTTTGCTACGCTCCTGGGCACTCGTGCTCCCTGGGACAGGTTTTTACCCAGTCAGGGCTGGCGCTGTTCCTCCTGGCTCTGTCCCTGGTGAGCCCCTGCTCGCGTCAGCTGAGCTGCCGGCTCCTGGGCAGGTGCTGTTGAGGACTTGAGGCTCCCTCGGTGGCTCTTGTCGCTCTGAGTTGAGGCTCCTGGGTGCTGATGTCCCCCGGCTCCGGTGTTCAAGGTGTCCTCTCTTGAGCTACTCACCTCAGCAATTCATATTACGCAGCATGTCCAGTATGGAATTATTAAGCAGAACCATGCATTAAATTTGTGGCCTAAGTTTGTCAGTTTGGAACTTACAGACATTTTTCTAGTATTGAAAAAACTTACAGACTCTGTGTGTGTGTGTGTGCGTGCGCGCGCACACAGTATTTGGTGTGTGTAGCATTCGGTGCTTTTGCGACATAGTTAGCTGCTACCCTGACAGAGATCTAGGACAGTTTGGCTTTGGACAGTGGGAAGTGTGACCAGAAAGACTTCTTTAGTGCACTTTTACAGTGGCTGGATGTATGCAGTAACCATTATCGATACTGGTAGCTTGCCATAGGTTGTCATTGGTTTGGACTAAGTATATAGACATGCTGTGCCAAATTTACTGTTATTGGTCAAAAATTTGAGAGGAACTAATAGTTAGAAAACCAATAAGCTAGGGTGAGCTGACTTAACAGCAATAAAATGTTTAGGCCTCATTTCTTATTCCCTTCACATTCCCAATGAATGTGAAAACTTGTGGGTGTGCAGACTTGTACAAGCGGGAGAATACTTTATCTGCCTACATGGAACCAGGTGGCAGAGTTTGTACACAGTCTGTGTGCATCCCTGCAAAATTACGGAGGTGGATGGATTGAAAGCCGTAGTAGAAAAGAGTCCTTTGATGTTTTGGCATGTGGCAAAAATCCTGCTTTCAAGCTCAGCCAGCATTCACACTGGCCAGTTTGTGCCGGCAGCTGTGTGAGATCTCTCCCCAGCTTCAGCATCTCTCATGGTACTTAAGAGAGCTGGAAGTTGCTGTATTCAAAGTGGTCCTTTTGTCTTGTTTCCACACTTCAAAGTGAGAATAGCTTCATGCTACTGGCTTTGGTTAGGCTTTGGTTGAGTTGCCTAAGTCCTGACCATGCCTGGCTTGTCCCTGCCCCTTATCCAGAGCTGTGGCAATCAGTAATAGGACTTACTTGTCACCTTGCTGGTTTCTTTACTGTCATGACTGGGACTAAGGTCTCCTGGGTATAGTGACAATATTGGTTGTTCCGTCACCTCTACCATGCATCTCAGAGGCAGAAAGTATCATGGTGTTACGCCTTTTTTAAACATGTTATTTTTGCCTTCCAAGATTAGACTGGCCCAGAGAAATGAACATAGGAGAGGGAGTATATTTGCTACCAGTGTCCATAATACAACAAAGCCACAGGGGCATAGATGAAGAAGAAACAGCAAAACAAGTTTTTCACTGATCAGTGATGGGATTTCTCAGGGACTGGAGTGAAAAGGATTCTACATCCTTCAACCAGCTGAAGTGCTGCATGATCATTCTTCTTCTGTAATTGCATGGGGTACTGCAACGTAGTGGAAATTGGGTAAGGTCCCAGTGGAACATGGGTAAGTTTCTTGGAAGCGTGTCAGTAAATTCTTGGTGAACTGGGTTGGAAACAGAAATAAAAAGTATCTAATCAAAGATTTCAGTGGCATAAAATGGTCTTAAGTCATCTTGTGCTCTTTATGGGCTTTGTTCCACAATATTTAGGTTATATTACTAATGTGATTGTTCCCATTGAGCTGCTGTTCAGGTTAATAGCATGATGCACATCCTCATGTTTGCAGGGTTAAAGGTCTTTGTTTCTATTATGGAAGCCCAAATACATTGTGTGTCTGGAGTCTAATATTCTTTGTACTTGTTTTAATAAAGAAACACAAATAATAGAGGGCAATGGATCAATGCTGAAGGTAGAATGTGAGGAGGGACCACAAAAAATCTCCCTTTCCAGTGGGAAATAAATAGAAGCTGTCTTTAGGCATTACAAATCCGTATGGATTGGATAAGTAAGCCTTTGCTTGTTGTCATCTGCTGAGAGAAGGAACTTCATCTTGAAACTGGAGAATCCTCAAGGCTATGTCTTCACTTCTGCTGTTATGTTCCAATTTCCCTTTTTTTGTTGTTTGTTTGTTTTTTGTTTTTGCTTCAGTCGTAGCTGATTGTCACTCTTGGACACACATTGTCTTAGATGTTCACTTAAGAATAGGGAAAGGCATTTATATTTTTGTGAATACCCACTGGAATGGGTGTATTCATACATTATGAAATGTAGTGCTCTTTCTGTCTTACCCAAATACAGAAACAGACTCCCCAAAACAGCTGCAACACTTTCCCTTTATCAAATCTTCTATTCCATCAGGTGATTATTATAATATGGTCACTGTCAGATTATTTTATTTCACCAGGTAAGGTATCCTTATGCTAAACAGTTCAGAATGACAGAGTAAGCAAAAACTGGGGATACAAGTCAGACAGAATCAGCCACACTTACCTAAAAAAGTATGTCAGTCTGCTAGCATATGGCAGAGCTCATGCTATGGAAGTCATTTAACACAGGACAGCCATTGTAAGTTAACAAGGCTCTTTGCATGCTCAAATTATTTGTTTGTGGCATAACCCCTCCTCTTCACCTACTCCCCTTCGAATCAGTTGGGTGCAGGGTTTTGGACTCTCTGACTTTCAAAAATAACTTTTGTAAACGTCACAGCTGTAGAATTAATTCTTGCTGGTGTATTGTATGTGCAAGTGTAATGCTAAAAAGTCACAACTGTCTTAATGTAACTTAGTAAATGAGCTATAGACCGGGTCTCCACTAGTCAAGCTACTGTCAGAGTTCCCTTAAACACAAGAAAGTTTCCTTTTTCACAAGAAAGTAGTTCTAAGAACAGTCACAGAGACCCATAAGAGAGGAGTGCTTCTAGGGAAGATTTAATTTCATGCCTAAATGCTAATGAGCAACTAATGTTAGTTCTCTTATGTGGAAATATGTATCAATTGATTACAGATCTGGTTTTGCTAGAAAGTCCTTTCTGGTCCCTGCAATCTTATTTTCTGTGCTGCTGTTCCATATTACTCTTATAGACCTCCCAAGAAAGAGGATAAGCTCTCACTCTTGACAGCACAGAAGCTCCAGCAGGAAACAAGAATTAAGCAGTGATCAGCAGAGACTTCCCTGCGGGAGCAAATCTTTATTGGCATCTATTCAAAATGAGTTGCCACTAGAAAAGGAAATGTGAATCAAAACTGTTTCTTTCATCCAGACTTTAAGTAAGCCTTCAACACTTGGAAGCTTGTCTTCCTAAGGTTTTTTTTTTTTTTTAACTTCTTTCTTGGGCTCCTTCTGGCATGGATTTTAAAACTTAAAGGGACCCTTGGGATAAAGAATTGCATCACCTGTATTCCACACAATTTTCTGGAACTAATTTCTTTTAAGTTTTGTTGGTTTGGTTTTTCTTGCTATTTTTTACTTCTCAATTTGCTTCAAATGGTTAATTGTAGAAGATGTATCACAGCCCTTAGTAGGTGCTTGCAGTGGTTAGATGCGCTGTCTGTTCAGCAATAAGTTGTGCACTGCAAAGCTGCAGCTGGACAAGTTTAGAATTCAGATAACATGTAAATTCATCATTCTGTCTTTGGGTGCCTATCTAGGGATTGGGGAAGTAGTCCAATTGTTTTGACTACTGGGGGTTTAGTGTTCCAACCTTGTCTCATGCAGTTCCTAGGGAACACCCTCCAGAGAGGAGGAGTCTTGAGAATGGCGTAAAACCTTTTAACACAGTTGGGTTTATGTTGCAGTTAATATGTCCCTGGTCTGTTTGAGTGAAGGTTTCTTGCTGTAGCTTAAGATTGAGTTATTTTTAAATGAGCTATCTATAATTGCATGACCTTCATGTTGTCTTTCCCTTGTAGTAGTTTTCTGTTAGCCCAGAAAGAAAAAGTTTAATTTGGAGGTTTCTTGCACATGTGGGATTAGCTTCTCTTGTGTTTCAACAGGTTTCTCAGGATGGTGTCAGTTTACTCCTCAAAGGCTTCCTGCAAGGGATCACATATTGTCTAGGTTCTGCTCAGCTGCCTCCACTGTTACCTTTATTTCTAAAACTGACCTCATTTCTGTTTTACCACCGTGTTTCCTCATGGGATCTGGTACCTTTGGTCTTTAGGACTCCTCTGTCTTGTGCAAACTAACTCTTATGGTTGGACATATCCAAAGGTTTTACCTCTGCTTTTAGTAAGTTCAATAAATATCCTGCTTTTTTAAATGCTTATGTGAATTGTCTTATATGTTTATGGGAATTTATTGGGAGAAAGCAAGTCCCACTTTGACTACAACCTATATATAAATATCTGATATAGTCCTGAAGTTAATTTCCGGTAGCTGATCTGTGAGCTCCTTTTTTCTACCAGGTTTGGTTGGTGAGTGGATGAATCAGCTGAATAGATTTGGGTTGACTGGTAGATCTCAGTGAAATGATAAAAGAATTTAATTTTCTTTCATTTAAATGTGAATAAGCTGTTGGTACAGATGTCACTCAAGAATCTCTTTGTTATTTTAATGAACCTGCATTAAACCATGCAGGAAATTACAAGGCATGTGTAATTTAACTACTGTATGTGAATTTACAGCAGTAAAAATTCATAGCTCTCACCCAAGAACAGAATTACATAATAATGGAGGTATGAGGGTAGAAAGGCTTTTATGTCTATAGCTTAATTTTTTCATGTCTGTAGCGTCATCTTTTTGGAAGCACATACTTTAGATACAGGTTCCTTTCTGTGTCCCCTACAACACATGTTTTACAGTCTTCTTACATGATTCGTATTTATGAACTCATGTTCTACCATCCAGCCAGCTGTGCCTAGACTCACTGTGGCTGTCAGATTGGCATCTTCTGGTCCTGCTTCAGGCAGCATCTTTCTCTCCTTGCTAGTAGAATTTTAAAAGGAAAAAGAACTAAACGTAAGAAAAAAATCCTACTTCTCTGGATCTTTTCTGCTTTTATGAGGAAGACAATCTATTTGTGGCTTGCTGTGGCAGGCTTATTACAAGAGAATTTATTTTGGAGGTGAGGATGTACCTGAAAGGGTGTGTCACTTTCCTGTGACATCTGATGACAAATGAAATCTTGAGCCAGGCATAAGCTATTAACATGACTAGTGGGTAAGTGCAAATTCAGAAAGTAATGTCATAAAAATTGATGTCCCCTTCCCTTACAGCATATGGAGAATGAATCAAAACCAGTATGTTTTTTTCTTGCTTCCTGGAAGTTTTAAGCACTGTCCTTAAGTGTGTTCAGGCAGTGAAGGCTGCAAGTATCTGTGGATGGTGAAGCACTCCTCCATTTAGGGTGCTTGGGCCATGGCTGTGGGACTTTCTCTCAGGACTGGGGATGAGTACTTTGCAGGTTCTGCTTATATTGTAAGCTGTATGATGACAATATTCTATTTTGCTTTCCCAGGCTGCCAGGAGAGTGATCTTGCTTTCAGGAACCCCTGCCATGTCACGGCCTGCAGAGCTCTACACACAGATTGCAGCTGTCCAGCCAGCCTTCTTCCCACAGTTCCAGTCCTTTGGGCTACGCTATTGTGATGGCAGGAAGGTACTTCAGCAAACATCATCTTATTTTTTTCAAAATGTGGAGGCTTTTTCCTTCTGTCTCATGTTGCATCTTTTTTTTCAGAAAGTCTCACTGCATAGTAACAGTTTGAAAGCTCTAACATGAGAAGCTGTAGGTGCTGCTCCTGAGACATGGAGGCAGTAATGCTTCTTGTCAAAATCTGGCCTGAAAGTCACAGAAGTAAATAGCTTTAATAAATAAGTAAGCTGTAGCTGGAGAAAGGAGCCTATTCTAATGAGAACTTGCCCCTAAACCCCCAAGTGTGTGATCTGCTTTTGTGACTGTTCAACAAAGGCCTCAGTTGCTTGGGATTTTATATCTCCAGTTAAATCAGAAATGAAGACTTGTAGTTCATCCTTGTATTCTACCCTCTTCTACTTCAGGAAATAGATGTGATTCTCAGTCACAGTATCTTGACAATAAATTAACTTTAACACTGCCATATGTTCAGAGTGGTTTCAGCAGAGTTGTTGAGTCCAGTCACTGCAAGTTCTTGTCTTCACAGGAAGCCAGCATTTGCAGCCATGATGGCAGGTGTCTGCCTTGTTCCCAGTGTAAAGGCATCTTACCTGTGCTTGGATTTTCCATCTCTAGAGCTGCTGCATGTATTAAAAGACACACTGTTAAGAGCTCTTGCTGCAGCCTATTGTCCTTGAAGGCTCTGGGATCAGTTCTGTGCTGGCTGCATAGACACAAAAATGGGAACCAAAGTTCCCCTGCGTTCTGATTTAGAGCAAGAGCCCCCTAATCTGGCTTGCCCTTCAGCTCCTCCAGGGCAAGCATGTAGCAATTAGCATGTGGCACAGAATCATAGAGTCAGCTAGGTTGGAAAGACTTTTAAGATCATCAAGTCAACGGTTACCCCAGGCTTGACAGTCTGAACATGGACCTGTGATACGTGAACTTGCTTACTTTGCTTTGTTCTCAAATAGTCCATTTCACTTCTTGTGCCTCATTTTCTGTAAGACTAGGCAATAACTTTTAGCAGAGTGGCTGGAAATGACCATTTCAGTGCTCAAAAATATATACAGAAGAACTGAACATATCTAAACGTATATAATGAACTGGTATAAAAATTATTATAGCTATTTGTAGGGGTTTTGTGCTTGTTTTCTTTTCCCTGTTTGGGGAAACTAACATATGACAAGTTTTCTCAAGAAGATTTGTATTGCAGTCTCATGTAAAGTTCTGAAGTCCTCTTTTTCCTAGATCTGAATGCCCACTTTTACTTTCATAGCCCATGTAGTGCTCTTCCACATATGACCAAATATGCAAACTAGATGAGCAATTCATTGGCTTTGTTACTTGTATGCTGGTGCCATTAAAGTAAGGCTGATGAAAGTAAGGCTGTTAGAATGCAGAATCACAGGTGCAGAGCTTGAGTTCTGGAAGATTCAAGTTAGCAAAGCAGTGTTTTCCTGACAGGATAAGCTTATTCCATCCATAGTAGGAATCATACGAAGGGAGAGTGCCATGTCTTCTGCTGAGCTTCGTTATCTTTGTTGAAGGATTTCTGTTTCAGTAGTGTCCAGAATGCTTCCTAGAGGGAAATTAAGAGATGTAGTTTAATCTTGTTGGTTTTCTGCGGTAAAAAGGGAAGTTGAATTGCAACATGATTCTAAATAGGTTTGGAGTTTCATAAACCCTTTGAGGGTAAAGTTCTGCATGACTAGTTGTTGCTTCAGTTGCAAGGCATATATATCTCAGGTAAAATGTTGAATTGGATGGAAGAAATAAAATTGTTTTACATGGTCCAGGTTGTAACAGTGTATTCTGTGTAAATGAGTTTTGAACCCACAGTGAAACTCAGCATGGAGGGTGCAGTCTGCATCAGCTTCCCTTCAAACCTCTGCAGGGATTCTAGTACAGTTTCGTTTCTCTGACCTGCCACTGCTAGACAGTTGAACATTACTAGTCTCAGTCCTCCCCTGGGGCATTTTGCTACAGTTAATGTCAGTAAATGATAAGAGTGAACCTAGAAAGAATTTAGTTATTTAGAGAAGAAATGGGACTTCTGGAAATAGAGATGTGGATAGTATTAGAGTTAAAAATGGTAGCTGAATATTGGGTTGCCTTAGATCCACTCACCAATAAGTAAATTAAAAGGTGTTTTGATGACTGTAGTTGTTCCCTTATGGCGGTAGTATGTCCCTCATGTTCCTTTTTGCAACTCTAAACTGAGATTGTGTTAAGAGTTACATCCTCTCTGAAGAACTGTTGTGGTACTTCTGCTGTCATAACTTAAATAGGTGCTTTTTGGCCTGAAAATGGCAGTATTATGAGTGAAAATGGAATTGCACATAACCTGAGAGGTTTTGCATGGCTTTGGGAGAACTGTCAGGATGAAAGATGCTACATAAAAATGTTTTGGTATTACTAATAAACCTGATTGCATTACAAGATCTAAGAAGAATTGACAAACTTGAACCATTCAATTTAAAATTAAACTTGACTAGTTTTTGAAGAGAATAGATTTTTGTGACAGAAAATCGCAAATATCTCACAGATGTGATGAGAAAAGAGAAAAAAAGTTTATAATTTTGTAATTCAACCTCCTAGAATCTGTACTCTTAAAAATTCAGCAAGTGAAATTTGAGATACAAAATATCTCAAGTCTGTTTCCGAAAATACATGCTGTGAATTCATTTTTCAAACTGGGTGATGTTGGCAAATATTAAATAATTTCTATCTGAGTACATGCTCTGAATTTGTAAGAGTTTGGCAGCTTCTACTAACACTGTAATAAGTTTACTGACTCATGTCACAGATGCTGTGACACTTTGGTAACAAAATCACAGTTGAAAGCATTTGTTCAGGAATTCTATGGATCAAAGCCAGATGTGTTTTAGCAAAATACATGTCCTTCTTTCCTGTAATTTTCTGCAATAGGGTATACTAAACTATATTTTAATAATTCCAAAAATAATAATCTTTTTATCACTAATTAGGTGCAGCACAGAACTGGCATGTTTCCTTGTTTGAAAATTGTTCCAGCAAGTCACCATAAAAGAAATACAGTAATCTGAACATATTTCAGGGATTCTGCTCGTATATGCTGTTTAATATGACAGTATATTGGCTTCTGATTTACACCTGTTCTTTCTGTTATGATGGTATTATGAACTGAAATAAATCGTGCTACATGGACACAAATGTATGTATTACTTGCTTGGAAGTAAGTAATACATATGTTCTGTGTATTGGAACATAGAACATACACTTTTCTTCTGTGTTCTATGGAAGTGGAACAACATGGGCTGCATGAGTAGAATGAGGTAGCCTGAGGAGATGTCTAGGCCCTGAAGCAGGTCTTGCTCTGCAGCCTGGTCAGTGTTGGTCCCTGCTTCTTAGCTACCAGTGCACTGAGCAGAGGGCTTATGAGGCTCAGTGCAGCACCAGGTGGGTCGTTCCTGGTCCTGTACATCTCTTCTGCTGGGTGACACACAGAGCCTGAAGAAATGCAGAAAAGGGACACAAAGACTGGATCTCAGCACTGTCAGCTTTCCTGCAGCATGCCTAAAGCTAATAGACCTAGCTAAATTCGAACCAGCTTTTCACAGACCAGAGGGATATATCTGTATTGCACTCCTGGTTTCAGGGAAGTGGAGCAATAATAACCATGTTGCCTTTTTTAGAAAGGCAACATTGGGTTGGATCCAGGTGGGCTTATTACCTCTAGCTGTATACCACTGTGCTGTTGTCAGAGCCAAAGTTTTAACTCTACAGGATCCAAATTGTCTAGGGCTTGACTTGTTTCCTGATTTAATGAGCTGACTATAGATAATCAGATGGTACCATAATTATGTAGGAATGGATTAAGTCAAATGAGTTTTAATGATGGCCATGCTAGAATCTGAAGTCAGTTAATGTTTCACATCAGTACAATATCACAGAATCCCATGGGTTGGAAGGGACCTCAAAAGATCATCTAGTCCAACCCCCCTGCAAGAGCAGGGTAACCTAGAGTACATCACACAAGAACTTGTCCAGACGGGCCTTGAATATCTCCAACGTAGGAGACTCCACAACCCCCCTGGGCAACCTGTTCCAGTGCTCTGTCACTCACAGTAAAGAAGTTTTTCCTGATGTTCACATGGAACCTCCTATGCTCCAGTTTACACCCATTGCCCCTTGTCCTATCACTGGACATCACTGAAAAAACCTAGCTCCATCATCCTGACACTCACCCTTTATATACTTGTAAATATTGATAAGGTCACCCCTCAGTCTCCTCTTCTCCAATCTAAAGAGACCCAGCTCCCTCAGCCTCTCCTCATAAGGGAGATGTTCCACTCCCTTAATCATCTTTGTGGCTCTGCGCTGGACTCTTTCAAGCAATTCCCTATCCTCCTTGAACTGAGGGGCCCAGAACTGGACACAGTATTCCAGATGCGGCCTCACCAAGGCAGAATAGAGGGGGAGGAGAACCTCTCTTGACCTACTAACCACACCCTTTCTAATACACCCTAGGATGCCATTGGCCTTCTTGGCCACAAGGACACATTGCTGGCTCATGGTCATCCTCCTATCCACCAGGACCCCCAGGTCCCTTTCCTCTTCACTACTGTCCAGCAGGTCAGTCCCCAGCCTGTACTGGTACATGGGGTTGTTCTTCCCCAGATGCAAGACTCTACACTTGCCCTTGTTGAATTTCATCAAGTTTCTCCCCGCCCAACTCTCCAGCCTATCCCAGTCTCGCTGAATGGCAGCACAGCCTTCTGGTGTGTCAGCCACTCCTCCCAGTTTAGTATCATCAGCAAACTTGCTGAAGGTACACTCAGTTCCCTCATCCAGGTCGTTGATAAAAATATGAAACAGCACTTGTCCCAGCACCGACCCATGAGGGACTCCACTAGTCACAGACCTCTAGCTAGATTCTGGCCCATTGACCACAACTCTCTGCCTTCTTCCTTTCAACGAGTTCTTGATCCACCTCACTATCTGATCATCAAGCCCACACTTCCTTAGCTTATCTATGAGGATGCTGTGGGAAACAGTATCAAATGCCTTACTGAAATCAAGAAAAAACACATCTACCGCTCTACCATCATCCATCCATCTAGTTACTTCCTCATAGAAGGCTGTAAGGTTGGTCAGACATGACTTCCCCTTGGTAAAACCATGTTGGCTGCTCTTAATGACCCCTCATCCTTGATATGTCTAGAGGCGGTGTCAAGAATAAGTTGTTCCATCACCTTTCCAGGGATGGGGGTAAGGCTGACCGGTCTGTAATCACCCGGGTCCTCCTTCTTACCCTTCTTATAGACTGGCATGACACTTGCCATTCTCCAATCCTCAGGCACCTCTCCTGTTTCCCACAACTTAGCAAAGATGATGGAGAGTGGCCCAGCAATGACCTCCTCCAGCTCCCTCAGCACCTGTGGGTGTATTCCATCCGGACCCATCAATTTATAGATGTCCAGATTGCTTAACTGATCCTTGACCCAATCCTCATCTACCAAAGCAAACTCCTCCTTTATCCTGACTCCTTCTGGGTCTATAGGAATCTGGGTCCCCTGGGGAGAGTCTGCACGAGTAAAGACAGAGGCAAAGAAGGCATTCAGCACCTCTGCCTTCTTTATATCCTCTGTCTCCAGGGCACCCACCTCGTTCAGCAGTGGGCCTATATTGCCTCTTGTGTTAGTTTTATCCGCTATGTATTTGAAGAAGCCTTTTCTATTGTCCTTAACCCAACTTGCAAGATTAAGTTCCAAAGAGGCCTTAGCTGTCCTAATTGCCTTCCTACATCGTCTAACGACTGTCCTATATTCCTCCCAAGTTGCCAGCCCCTCCTTCCGTAATCCATACATTCTCTTTTGCCACATGAGTTTGCCCAGCAGTTCCTTGTTTAACCATGCTTGTCTCCTGGCTCCCCTACTAAACTTCCAATCTGTTGGGACACTCTGATCCTGAGCTTAGAAGAAGTGGTCCTTAAATGCTGACCAACTATCTTGAGCCCTTTACCACCTAGTACCCTTTCCCATGAGACTTCCCTTAGCAATTGGTTGAAGAGCCCAAAGTTGGCCCTTTGGAAATCCAGAATTGTGGCCTTACTAGGTATTCTATTCCTCCCACACAGGATCCTAAACTCTGCCATCTCATGGTCACTGCAGCCAAGGCTGCCATTGACCATCACCACTTCAACCAGACCTTCCTTATTGGTGAGTAGTAGATCCAGCAGCGCTCCTCTGCTAGTTGGTTTGTCCACCATTTGCATTAAGAAGTTATCATCAATGCACTGGAGGAACCTCCTAGACTGTAAATGATTGGCTGTGTAAGTCTTCCAGCAAATATCGGGGTAGTTAAAATCCCCCATGAGGACCAAGGCATATAGTCATGAGGCTGCTTTCAGTTGCCTGTAGAAAGCCTCATCAACTCCTTTGTTTGGAATGGAATTGTAGGTTGTCCTGTTATGCCTCAACCTGAAGTAGGAATGTTCACTTCCAGATAACAAGGAGGTCTTAATTGCCTATAAGCTGTTTGATTCCTCCTCTTTCTCTCTCATAGCATATTCTCATCCATGTTCCATCAAAACACCATCTCTTAATGCAGTCAGTAAAATGATTAAGCTCATGGCTAGTATGATTTTATTTTTGTCTCATGCATTCTACAGGAGGATGGAGGGTGCAGTGAATACTTTGGAGTGTTTTCCTATTTTACTCCCTTTTCTGTGTTGCAGCAGGTTTTGCTTGGGGAAGGCAAATAAGAGATACATAGATTTTTAAGGCTAAATCTGTTTTGGCCATTAATGGGACTCAAGAGTGGAGCAGCAGATCAGAGGGGTTGGTGCTGAGGCTTCGCACATCTCCATTGTATGCATTTTAGGAGAGTGTATCAGGTTTCTTTGGGTTGTTACTCCAAGACCAGAGGTTTCATTTTTTGGCTTCTTTCTTTTGGTGACACTGCCAGTAAGACTTGTAATTAGGGCTGTGAGGAAGATCTGGCCTCTCCCCTGAGTGAGTGTATGAGACATGTGTATGAATGAGTGTATGAGACATAGCTACAGTAATAATGTAAACTAAGACATCTTAGTTTACATTATTACTGTACCTTCACCATCATGAAGGTGTCTCTCTATCCTTCAGCATAAAAACTGTATTGATCTCCTCTCCAAAAAAAAAGTTGGTTACAGATATTTCTTTTGGGAATGTACCAATTTTGATGCCAATATTTGTCAGCTTAGTTGTTCTTTTCCAGGCAAGAACAAATGATAGGCTCTGGGGTTACTAGCAGGAGAAGTGATGAGCTGAGATTAATAGAACAGATATATATTGTTGGCACACAGGTTCTTGGAGGATAGGGCAGGTTCAGTGGCGTGTGCTTCAGGGAGGAGTAAATGAAGGGTTTCAGAGGAGCTTTGAAGTGTTGATACTTTGAAGAGACAATACTTGGAGGGATGTTTTGGGCCACAGTTTATGGTTTGCTTGAGTCTAAGCCAAATGTGGTAATGGCAGAAACAGTTTGTCAGGAAGCAAATCAAGAGACAGGTCCCAGTGGAAAACAGGCAGTTTTGACCTAGCATTTACCAGGCATGTTAGACAAGTGTTACATCTGTGTGAAGGCATTTGCGTTAAGGATTTTTGTCCTCATGCTGTTAGAGAAAGTTTTGTGTGCGTGTGTCTGCTTAAAGGTGAGATGAATGTGCACAGAACTGCAGAGTTCTGTCAGCCTGTCCAAAGCTGTAAGTGGAGAGCAGAAACACTTTGTTGTGTGAGGATGAATACGAGGGCACAGTGTTGTGGGAGGGATCCCTACCTTTCTGCATTGTCCTCTTTCCTTCACCTCCCAAGCATCTGTAGATTAAAAAAGGGAAGTTTATGAATTACCTTCTCATGTTGGGTGGATTAGTTAGTACAGTTCAACCTTATTGCCATTTTTGTCAAATCTCCCCTACCAACCTGCCTTGTGCAGCTTTCATGGAAGTTTATTCGACTCTTAGATCACCTGCAGACCAGTCTCTTTTAAGTTTGACACTAATAACTGCTTTGTTGTCTACCAGATGCCGTGGGGTTGGGACTACTCTGGATCATCCAACTTAACTGAACTGAAAATTTTGCTGGAAGAGTCCATCATGATCCGACGTCTGAAATCAGATGTGCTTTCCCAGCTTCCAGCGAAGCAACGCAAAATGGTTGTGGTGGCTCCCGAAAAGATTAGTGCAGAGACCAAAGCTGTCTTGGCAGCTGAAGCAAAGATGATGACCAAAGGATACAAAAGTGTAAGCTGGAAGCTATTTTCATGATGAGCCATTGGTGTTTCAGGTACCTTATTTAAATCATTAGTGGAAAAAAGGTACCCTGACTTGCAAGGAAGGTCAGAGCCGCATCTCATGTGAAGGCACAGCAGAAGGCTGTTGAAGGCACAGTTTTAGATTAATGTATAACACAATCAAAACAGCTCAGCTTTTTTTCTAAGTGGTATACTTTGTCCCTTTTCGTATGAAATACCATTTCCTCTTTCTTTTTTTTCCCCTCTCATTAGTCCTTTCTCCTGGTCTTTTGTACCTCCTGCCTTTGGACTTTTCTGTCGTGCCTTGTAATCCCGTTCACCCTACAAACACAGCCCTGTTCAAGCTGTGTTCTGAGCACAGCAGTAGCCAAAAACATGAAGTATATTTTTGTCTTTCTACCCCCCACTCTGTTTTCCTTGTATGGATGGCAAATGTTGTAGGCTCCTAGGTTGCCAGTACAGTTCTGTAAGAACTTAGGAGTTTTTCCTTGCCATTTTAGTTTGGAAATGCTTTCTCAACTAAAACTAGATGTTCGATACGCTTGTCATCCAACTTGGAGGAGTTGAGTAGGAGGTAGGGAAGGAGGTGTCAGAAGTAGGAGTGTGTGAGTATCTGCCATACACAGTAGCGAGTAGACTCCCCCATCCAGTCCCCTTTTGTTGTGCTTTTTTAGGCTGATTTTTCCTCCTAGCAAAGAGTTTATTGGCAGCAGCAGACATCCCAGATCTGTAAGCAAGAAGGAGAAAAGGCATTTCTGAAGCTCACATTTATTTATCTTTCTCTCTACAGAAACAACAGGAGAAGGAAGCACTTCTCATCTTCTATAGCAGCACAGCAGAAGCTAAAATCCATTCAGTCGTGTAAGCTGCATGTCATTGCTTCATTCTTGCCTAGTAAAATGTGTTTTTTCTCTGAGAACAGGAAAATGGTGCCTTAGAGATAACAGTGCAGGGACACGAAGCCTAGCCTTAAGCTAGTGCAGAAAAAAATTGATTTTAATTACAATGCACTAAACATTCTCTTCTCTCAAGAGTTCCTAGGTGGAATAAGTCTTCTGATTTCATTCCAGATACAGATCTAAACTGTCATTTGAACCATCTAAAACTGCTTGATGTTTGCGATTTCGATTTGAGGAGCAGGGGGAGTAATGAAATTAGAAGTATCAATTTGAGAAGCAGAATTTGACAAAACAAATGCTGCAGTCCTGCTTCAGCAGGAACCCTGAGCCGGAAAGCTTATGAGGTGGACTGAGCTTCAGCTGTATCATGCTGTCGGGATGTTACAGATCTTACTGAAGTTCTTTGCTCTTCCACAGGGTTCACATGGGACCTCAGCAGCAAAAGTTTTTTATCATAACTGTGCTTTTAACTCTGTTTTCCCTAGGAATAGTTTCCTTCTATGACTTTCTGTGCCCTTTCATCCTTAGTCTTTCTGCTGGGTCTGCAAGGAGTTTCTTTACTTTTTTGCAGATCTCTGAATATAAGGACCAGCTGATGTGCACTGGGTGATTTCACAGTCTCAGACCTTGCTGCAGAATTTGCCTGTTCAGCACAGAACTGCACTTCAGAGTCCCAGTGCTCATTTCTGTAGAAGAGTTTCTTCCTTTTATGTTAGTGAACAGTTAGAAGACTTCCTTTTATTTCAGTTGCAAGTGTGAACTGAATATAAAACCATGAAGTGCTGTTTACTTGACTCTCTGTTAGGAACTAGTCCTTTTTTCTTTCTTTTTTTTTTTTTTTTGAGGTTTAATAGCATTTAAAATACTGCTTATTAGAAGCTGCTGAAGTACAGTACCATCTAGCTAATTGTAGTGTCCTATGATCCTTAACACCTCCCATGTTTTACCCTTGTAGACAGTGATTTCCATTGCTTCCGTTAAAACAACTAGACATTTGTTAAATGGAATATGGAGAATGAGGTATAAAATAGTTGTGATGTGTTGACATCTGCTTGCTACACTGAATGTTCACTTTGATACTTGTTTTAAAAGCCAGCAATCCTGCTTCTCTCCCAGCTTTTCTTGTTAAATGACATTGTCATGTAATTGGAATCTGAACATCATGAACCCTGGGAGCTATGTTCAAGGCAGTGATACACCTTAATACAGGGCTGGCAATGCTGCTGGATTTTTTCTGCCAGTTGCTGCTGACATAAGCTGTGATGTATTTAGCAAAGAACTTGGAATTCCTGATCTTTGCAACAACTTTGCTATTCCAAAGAAAAAATGAAAGTTGTATCATCTCTATAGGCTTATCAGTGATTTTCAGGCTTCAGCTGATGTAACTGTAGCATAGGTTACTACATAGGAATAGGTTTTGTGGCTTTTCTGTTAGTCCAGGCAAAACACTGTTTAAATGTTTAAAAGGGGTGTTGTTACCTTTTATTGGTCATTAGTCTATGTGCATATGGGTAATTCATAGAAATAGCTTTTGTATTTAGATTGCTAAGCCATAGTAAGTTGTCACTGTGAACCCTTGTGAGAAAAGCTATTTTTAGGATACTCTGATCTGTGCATTTAGAGCCCTTTTCTTCTAAAACAGAAACAGTCCTAAGTGAACACAGGAACGATAATTGTACACAGATTATCTTAACATACTGTGATTGTGAAAAGTTAGAAATACAGGAGGGTGAATGAGGTCATCAAATACATATAGATGACTTGCAGTTGATTGGTCTGGATGTCATGTTTCAAGTGGGATATAATAAATTGATTCTCAGTGATATCCATAGATAAATGTAGGCAGCTGTCCAGCTGCAGTGAAGAAAAATGAGTGGATTATCCTGTAGTGTCTTTTTTTAATCTATAGGAGACCTGACTTGCTACTTGCATTTTACTGCAACTTTTTTATGCTAGCCTATTTCCTAGTTTCTCTGTATAGATGAACTGTATAGTTGTGAGCAAAGCCTGTATTCTCTCAGCACATAATTTAGAGTTCTGGTTTGGTTTTGTTTTGTTTTTTCCTTTTTCATGTAGAGAATACGTCCTGGACTTACTGGAAAGTGGCAATAATAAATTCCTGGTGTTTGCTCATCACAGGATAGTGCTGGATGCAATAGTTGCAGAGCTGGAGAAGAAAGTAAGTAATAGACCGAGTCATCTTAACTTTATCACTACTCCAGCTTCAAAGCTGTTTAAGAGCTCCCCAGAGTTATGTCCGGTCAGATAGTTTATGAAAGTTAGTGGCAGAAATCATTTCTATTTGCTGTGTTTCTGAATGTGCCCTTCACTGAGGGAGCTGAGCTGTCAGGGTGAATGCCTCACAGGATGCACTTTGCATTAGCTGAATAGCTTTTGTTGTATTTAATGTTCTTTATTCTCACTGTCTGCCCTGGAGCTTGTGAATTCTTGGAGTGTTACCCTGTGTGGCCATCTCTGCTTTGTCCTCCAGGCTTTCCTCAGAGAGAGAGAATGTAACGGCTATGGCTGCCTCCCTTTATCTCTGTGGTGCTGTTACATTTTTGAACTGGATTACTGTAGGGAGACTTGTTAGACCTACCAGTCATCTCTCTGACTTCAAAAGTGTTTTGTTAATTGTTCATGTGAGACTTCATGGAATGCCTCTGAAGAGTTCTGGGTCATGCTGGGGCAGTGTAAAGGGTGGTTTAAGTTAATATTCCAAACCATAAACCACTGTGGCAGTGCTGCCTCTGTGGCTGCATCCTCCAGTAGAGCAAGGAGGATGGACACCAAAGAGTTACGGCTCTGTGTTACCCAAGTTTATCATGCCTCTCCTGAGCTACCACAGAGCAACTAAGATGTGTAGGATTCCATCTCTTCCTATTGCAAACAGGAGAAGACTTAAGAAGGTTGGAGAGATTGTAGCACCTGTAATATCAGCTGTGTTCAGCTTTGTATTAAGCCAGTTGCATTTCCACTGTACTTGAGTTGCCAGCTTGTTACTGTCCTTCCTGTTGCTCAGAACTGGTGGGAGAGTAGTGAACATAAGAGCAAGTTATGCATCGTGAACAGAGGGGCTGAGCTACAGTGCCTTTGCCTTGAAGATAAGGAAAGGTTTCAAAAAGACAACTGGTGCCTTTTTACTATCCTGGTTCTGCTGTGGGGAAGGAAAACAGAATCCACTAAAATATGGAAGGAGGATACAGGAAAGGGGACACAGGGCCTCTAAAAAGTCTCTTATGCCTTTTCACAGCATGTTGAATACATTCGCATTGATGGCTCCACACCTTCAGCTGAGCGACAGTCTCTGTGCCAGAAGTTCCAGTTGTCAGAGAAGCAGGTGGTGGCTGTCCTGTCCCTCACTGCTGCAAACATGGGCCTGACATTGTCTGCTGCAGACCTGGTGGTGTTTGCAGAGCTCTTCTGGAATCCAGGGGTACGTATCCTGGAGGCGACAGGAGTTGGATGCTCCCTGGACAGCAGAAACATTGGTGCTAAGGAAAAGATGCAATAGGCAGGGAAGTTTCTCTAGGGTTTTTTTCCTTCTTTCTCTGATGGCTACTTTTCTGTTCACCCCCAGATGCCAGGGCTTGAACCAGTGAGGCTATTTACACAGCTTGCTGCCTGCAGAATATGGTGTGAAAGGGAAACATGCTCCTGTTTCTTAATTTGACAGAGCTCTCAGTTGCTCGCCCAGCCAGGACCTGAAAGGGTCCATCATTAATGGTACTGAAAAATGCTCAGTGCCTTTAGGGAATCTGGTGCACCAGATTACTTGGTTTAATCTGTGTTTGAGGATGTGGGTATTAAGAGGATCCAGATGAGAAATAGTTGCTAAGCATGAGAAATGAGATCTCCCTGTTCTCTGGTGCTTACACTATTTCTTAGATGTTTGAGTTCACACTTTATTTTCTTTGTCATGTCTTTACATAAAGGTTTTGATCCAAGCAGAAGATCGGGCACATCGAATTGGACAGACCAGCTCTGTTAACGTTCACTACCTCGTGGCTAAAGGCACAGCAGATGATTACTTATGGTAGGAAGTGAGAAAGACACTTTGGTTCTCCTGTCACCTGTTTTCACTGTTTGTCACATGATGATGTAAGGTGCTTAATAACAGAATCATAGAATAGTTAGGGTTGGAAAGGACCTTAAGATCATCAAGTTCCAACCCCCCTGTGATGGGCAGGAACGCCACACACTAAACCATGTCACCCAAGGCTCTGTCCAACCTGGCCTTGAACACTGCCAGGGATGGAGCATTTACCACTTTTTGGTCAACCTGTGCCACTGCCTCATCATCCTCACAGTAAAGAACTTCTTCCTTATATCTAACCTAAACTGCCCCTATTTAAATTTAAACCCATTAACCCCTTGTCCTACCACTACTGTCCCTAATGAAGAGTCCCTCCCCAGCATCCTTGTAGGCCCCCTTCAGATACTGGAAGGCTGCTGAGGTCTCCATGCAGCCTTCTCTTCTCCAGGCTGAACAGCCCCAACTCTCTCAGCCTGTCTTCATACGGGAGGTGCTCGAGCCTCTTTATCATCCTTATGGCCCTTCTCCAGCAGCTCCATATCCTTCTTGTGTTGAGGACTAGAACTGTACACAGTACTCCAAGTGGGGTCTCATAAGAGCAGAGCAGGGGGCAGGATCACCTCCTTTGACCTGCTGGTCATGCTTCTTTTGATGCAGCCCAGGATATGGTTGGCTTTCTGGGCTGCGAGTGCACACTGAAGCTGGCTCATGTTCATTTTCTCATCAACCAACACCTGCAAGTCCTTCTCCATAGGGCTGTTCTGAATCTTTTCTCTGCCCAACCTGTAGCTGTGCCTGGGATTGCCCCAGCCGAGGTGTAGGACCTTGCACTTGGCTTGATTGAACTTCATGCAGTTGGCATTGGCCACCTCTCAACCGCATCAAGGTCCCTTTGGTCCTTCTGGATGGCATTCCTTCCCTCCAGTGTATCAACTGAACCGCACAGCTTGGTGCCATTGGCAAACTTGCTAGAGCACACTCAATCCCACTGTCCATGTCAGTGACATGTTGAACAAGATTGGTCCCAACACTGACCCCTGAAGGGCACCACTTATTACTCCAGTTGGAGTCTTGGTCTCCAGTTGGATATTGAGCCATTGACCACAACTCTGCATGCAGCCATCCAGCCAGTTCTTTATCCACTGAGTGGTCCATCCATCAAATGTTAATGTTAGTTCTGATTTCCACAGCCTGTAAGGGGAGGAGCAAAACTGCCAGTCAGGGCTGCTGTGAGCTGGTGAATGCAGTAGACACAGCTAAGTGGGTACGACAAGCAGGAGGAATAGAAGTAGTTACCTGACAAAGAAGGAGCTTTTGAGAGAAATTCTGGGAGAGCTGATGCATCTAAAAACCTTCACAACCTCTGTATAAGAAGAAGGAGTTGTCGTAGATACAACTTGGAACATTTGTGCTGGAGTACCAAGTGCCAAGTACTTTCAAGCAAAGTCAATGTACGGGAGATGGTTGTGTATTGTAGGTCAGGTCTGAGGTGCAATCTGGCTGCTGAGTGCTTGGAAAGGGAACTGTGAAGGAGGACTGCGCTATAGCTTTTCTTTTGCTTTTCAGTGAGCCATTCGGATGGACTAGAAAACTGCTGCTGACCTGCCTCTGGGAAGTTATGGTCTTGAGCCTTTTTGGCTGCATTGAGAACTATCAGTAGACACTGGTCCTTAAGGCTTGGGAATCTGGCATCCTGGGGGACGGGAGGATCTTAGAAATCCTTAATGCTGCAAGGGAACTGACTTGCAAATGATGAAAAGAAATTGTCCACCAGCTGGTTCATTTGAAGTCCAAAATCACATCTTTATTACCTTATTTAAAGGAATGAATTAACTCAGTGAACTTGTGCAGTTCCCAGAATATCACAATGGCAAATAATTGTAACCCTACAATGCAGGGATCTGGAAACTGATGCATCACCCGTGTTTCATGGAAAGTTAATGACAGTAATTCTGCCTTTATTTGTGAAATGCTGTCTGTGCAGTCAGTAACGCTAAATGGGAAGGAAATGTGGCTCTTCAAAGGACAGTGGTGTCCTTTTTAAAGGCAAGAAAAAGAGCAAGATGATGAGACTGTTTGGTAAATGCATTAATTGTGTGCTGTAGTCTTTGCTGCTTTCAAAGTGTGCAGTCCACAGGTGTGGTTGGGACTTTTTAGGGCAGTGACTGATTCTTTCTCCTGCAGTACACTGGGAGATACTCTGGAAGTGCTGATGAATGTGTTGATGGGGAATTTATTATTGCCTACCTTGGAGACTGAATATGCAGGCTATTGGTTAGGTGCATATTCTTGTTCTGACTTTATACCATTGGTGTTGCCTCAATCAGCTGGTCTCCCTATCAGACATATGTGTTCTCCAAGTATGTATAGCCTCTTCTTGTTATTTATTTAAATTGGATTGATACTTATTTAGATAGGATTGACACTTATTTAGATAGGATAGACTTGATACCCCAAGACATCATAAACAATAGCAGGATAGGTTAAGGAACTAACAAGCTTTGGTGGAAAAGCCGTCTTTATACCCCTGTTATCTTTTTCATCTACCCACAGTGAATGACATGATGTCCTTGCATGATACTTTCTTCCTTTCAGTAATACCTGTTTATCTTTCCTAGGCCAATGATTGAAGAGAAAATTAAAGTGCTGGGGGAAGCTGGTCTTTCAGAAACCAATTTCTCCAGAACAGCTGAATCCACTAATTACTGTCCTAAGGTAATTGACCTGAAAGAATATTGATGGTCCCTAGGAGAGACTGAATGGGCTTTGGCTTGTGTACATCTAGATAGGCAGGTCACTGGCAGGCTGACCTTACACCTGTTCTGCCTTTAATGCCACAGACCAGATTCTCCAGTTCCTCCAGAATCCATGCCTCAACTTGGACTCTCCACAGAGAGTTCCCAAACCAGCATACTGCATTCAAGGAGACATGATAGCCTCCATAGCATATATATGTGTCTGAGATTTATGTGTGTGTGTATGTATAATATATGTATTGTATGATATGTACACACATGTGCACTGTCTTGGGGGAGTGCCCTCTGGTTGTTGCTCACTTTGTTTTTATATTACAATGTGTATGCAGATTCTGTCTGTTCTTCTTTCTCAGGCAGATCCAAAGCAGAAGACCATCTATGACCTTTTCCAGAGGACCTTCTCTGAGAGCCAGGATGACATTGATGAAGCTTTGCTTTTGGAGGCAGATGATGCTTGCTGCAAGTCTGACTCTTGCAGTGCCTTGCAAGACACAGGAGAAATGTGTTCAGTGAGTCCCCCTAGAAAGCGGCGTATTGAGGAGTTTTTTAAAGCGTAATGGTGACAGCAAAAGAGACTGCAGCTAAGATACTTTTTTATTAAAAAAAAGAAAAAAGCAATCAAGTATTACGAGTTTTCAAAAATAAAAGACTACATTTTCTGTATCTCTAGTGTGTTTCATCTTGAAAGATGAGAAGGCAGTCTGACAGTGGGACAGATGGGCAGCCCATACCTGGCAGCCTGCATGTTTTGTGGTCCTAGTTTTGCTGATGACTGAAGGGCTATGGACAAGTAATGTGCTGTTTTGTTTAAGAAGCATTTAATGGTTGTCAGGCTACAAGGTAGAACTGTTGTGAAAACTAACTGCTCAGCAGCTGCAGATTGCTTATAACAGTCTTCCATCTCTAAGAAATTTAGTCTGCATTTATAGGAGTCAGTTCACTGAAAAATTTGGCCCTTGCATCACTCACAAACTGGCTCTCTGATATTCAGTTTGGCAGTGAAGAAAAAGATCCGGACAGATCCTGATGTTCTGTTTTGTTTAGGAAGAAGAGAGACAGACCCAGATATTTCCGTGCAGAGCAGTCAGTATTTTGAAACCAAGTAGTACAGCTGTCTGCCAGGAGGTGTATATTTTCTGTTAGGTATATGTCTGCCTGAGCACCCTCATCATTGGCCTCATCTGCTAAATCTTAGGACCTGCACCATAGCACGTGCTTCTTGTGTCAGCAGAGGGTGAAGTTTATGCTGACTGCCAGGAATTAAGCCTGGCTGCTCAGAAAAGGGAAAGACTTGAGGCTGACTTCCACAGATGAGTGAGGAGAGGGGAGTATGTGTAGACTTTTGTTCTTGCTTTGTAAGAAGATAATTCTGGACTGAGCTGTTTAAATAAAGATTTGTTTTAAGTCATGGTTCCCAAACTTTTAGTACTTTTTCTATTTTAGAATTTCATCTCCCATTTGGAGCTTAAGCTTGAGAAATATGTGATGCAGTGGAAAAACTAGGGTGTGGGGTTTTTATTTTTTCTTTTTTAAATTTTTCACAATGCCTGCAAAAGACAGGTCCTTTGGGGAGCACTTCTTTTGTGCTTTCTAGACTGCATCGGTTTTCAAAAGGGAAACCTCCATGATACTCTTTTTAGATTCATAGAATGGTTTGGGTTGGAAAGGACCTTATGATAATCTAGTTCAAACCCCCCTGCGATGGGCAGGAACACCACACGCTAAACCATGTCACCCAAGGCTCTGTCCAACCTGGCCTTGAACACTGCCAGGGATGAAGCATTCACAACTTCTTTGGGCAACCTGTGCCAGTACCTCACCTCCCTCAGAGTAAAGAATTTCTTCCATATATCTAACCTGAACTGCCCCTGTTTAAGTTTAAACCTGTTGCCCCTTGTCCTGCCACTACAGTTCCTAATGAAGAGCTCCTCTCCAACATCATTGTAGGCCCCCTTTAGACACTGGAAGGCTGCTCTGAGGTCTCCATGCAGCCTTCTCTTCTCCAGGCTGAACAGCCCCAACTTTCTCAGCCTATCTTCATATGGGAGGTGCTCGAGCCCTTTCATCATCCTCATGGCCCTTCTCTGGACTTGTTTCAACAGTTCCATGTCCTTTTTATGCTGAGGACACCAGAACTGCACACAATACTCCAAGTGAGGTCTCAGGAGAGCAGAGGGGCAGGATCACCTCCTTCGACCTGCTGGTCATGCTCCTTTTGATGCAGCCCAGGATAAGGTTGGCTTTCTGGGCTCTGAGTGCATGCTGCCAGCTCATGTTAAGTTTCTCATCAGCTAACACCCCCAAGGCCTTTGTTACAGGTGTCCAACTGGACATTAAGCCATTGACCACAACTCTTTGCATGCGGCCATCCAGCCAGTTCTTTATCCACTGCGTGGTCCATTCATCAAATTGATGTCTCTCCAATTTAGAGACCAGGATGTAATGCGAGACAATGTCAAATGCTTTGCACAAGTCCAGGAAGATGACATCAAATACTTTGCCCCTATCCCTCAGTTCCATAGCACCATCGTAGAAGGCCACCAAATTGGTCAGGCAGGATATCCCCTTAGTGAAGCCATGCTGGCTGTCACCAAGCATCTTGTTGTTTTTCATGTGCCTTAGCATGCCTTCCAGGAGAATCTGCTCCAAGATTTTGCCAGGCACAGAGGTGAGACTGGCTGGTCTGTAATTCCCTGGGTCATCCATTTTCCCCTTCTTGAAAATGGGGGTTGTATTTCCCTTTTTCCAGTCATTGGGAACTTCACCTGACTGCCATGATTTTTCAAATATGGAGGACAGTGGCTTAGCAACTTCATTTGCCAGCTCCTTCAGGACCTGTGGATGGATTTCATCAGGTCCCATGGACTTGTGCACATTCAGGTTCTTAAGATGATCTCACACCTGATCCTCTCCTACAGTGGGCATGAGGTCTTCATTCTCTGTGTGAGGTGAATCCCCAGGCTAGACACATGAATGTTAATAAACAAGCAAATATCTAAACACCCTGTGTAACAAATGCAGAAGAGATTTCTTAAATTCTTCTTCTCTCCCAGGAGAAGACCTCACCATAAGCAGCACTGTAGCAAATGCCACTTGGTGTATTGATAAGGAATGGTGAGGAAATCCTGTATGCCCTCCATGTTTCTGCAGAGTTCATGCAGAGGAAACCAAAACCCCTTTCTTTCACGTGGGGTCACCACGGTAAAATGACTGCATGTGGTGTAAATGCCTTTATTGACACAGTCTGAACATACAGATTATTTTATAGGGACACCCTGCAGTGCTGCCCAGTGTGTGGCCAACATGGGCAAGGAAATCCCCCACAGCTTTCTGGGTACAGGCACTGCCTCAGGGCCAGCACCCCAAAGGCATGCTGGGTGAAGGGGCAGCAGCAGGGCTGCAGCGGGCAGGGCTGTGGAGGCCCTGTCACCCCCATGTCACAGTACCATCACCTGCCAACACAGCATCAAAATGCTCTGGGGCAGTATAAGGCAGCAGCATCCTGTGTCCCACTGCCAGATTGCCCAGCTTTGCCACCAGGAGAGACCTGGTAGACTGAAGGCACCCGAGAAGAATTCCTTGAGGTACCAGTGGAACTACTTGGAGGGGCAGAGTGGGGAAGACTGCCAGAAGCTGCTGGAGGCTCTCTGCTGCAATTCCAGCTCCTGGAGGAACCACACTCACAGCTCATCATCAGTCTTCGGGGAGCTTACTGTCCTCATCTTCTGGGGAAATAATGGCAGTATCCGTAAGAAATAGGATCCACAGATAGCGCAGTGGGGGGGGGGCCCCCCCAGTGCTTTGGAGATCCCACTGGCCAAGCACAGAAAGGGTTCTTGACCCCAGGGTTGATTAGACCAGTGGCATTTCGCTATTCTTGGAAGCCCCTGGGATGGCTTCAGGAAGAGGCAGAAAAGGCAGTGCCAGTATCCCCTTGGAGGCATAACCAGCCCGTGGACCAGGAGCAGGTCTTGCTGACGTGCTCAGGGAGTAGCCGCCAGTGCTGGGGTCAGGAAGGAATTTTCCCCCACGGCAGACTGGCACTGGCCCCGGGGGTTTTCTGCCTTCCTCTGAGCACTGAGCATGACCACTTGCCAGGGCTCCTCTGGTCCTGGTGCTCTGGGTTATCGCCTGGTGCTCATGCACCACGAGGTTGGCCCTTCGTGTCCTGCAGCTGGGGGGAGGAAGGCTTTTTTCCCCCAGGCTGGACTAGCAAGTGTCCCCAGGGTTTTTTGCCTCCTAAGCAGCTGAGCACAGCCCCTTCATGGGGCTCCTTTGGGTCATTGTGGCCCAAAGGCAGTGGCTCGTGCTCCACACAGCTGGCCTTCGTGCCCCGCATCCGGGGGGAGGCAGCCTTCGGCACTCCCAGGGTGGCCCCTGCGTGGCCCTGGGACTCCCAGGCTGGCCCCAGCGTGGCCCCGGGACTTGCTGCTGTCCTCTGTAGCATTGAGCACCACCTGAGTCAGGTCTTCCCTGGCCCTTTCTGCCTGGGTTCTTCCACTGCTCTCGCACCACCAAGGCACCGCTCCTGCCCCAGCCTTCCTCTCTCAAGCAGCAAGGGAGGCCTTTTTCCAGGTAAACTGAAGGATGCGTCATCCTGCTGCTGGCTACGCATGTGCATCGGGTTAAGGCTTGTGAGCATCACCTCGGTCAGATTTAGGAAGAGGAAATAGAATCTAAGCTAAACTAGACTGAAATTAAGTAAGCTAAACTAAGTAAAATAACTTTATTCATAAATAAAATACTCTTTCCACCTGTAACCTGATTTCACAGTATCACAGTATGTTAGAGATTGGAAGGGACCTCAAAAGATCATCTAGTCCAATCCCCCTGCCGGAGCAGGAACACCTAGATAAGGTTACACAGGAACGTGTCCAGGCGGGTTTTGAATGTCTCCAAAAGGAGATTCCACAACCTCCCTGGGCAGCCTGTTGTGTTGTTTGGGTTTTTTGTTTGTGGTTTGTGTTTTGTTTTGTTTTTGTTTGTGGGGTGGTTTGTGTTTGTCCTTTTTAAACTGAGGGGCCCAGAACTGGACACAATATTCCAGATGAGGTCTCAAATATTGTGGTATGATTTGTGTCTGCTTTGTGCCTTTGAAAACGTTTCTGGTGTTAAAACCCCTTGGCATTTTAGGTAAATAATGCTCGCATCATCATACAGCTTAGCAAAGCAGGGAATGGAATGGAATGGAATGGAATGCAATGGAATGGAACGGAATGGAATGGAACGGAACAGAATAGAATAGAACAGAACAGCTATGCTATGTCATCCATATAGTTCTGCATGACAAGCTCTGATGTAGGCCTGAAGGGATATGTGCCGCGCAAGTCCCAAAGAGCGGCCAGTCCCAGGCATCGAGGCCTATGAACACCCTCTGGACCCTGACACATGCAGACGTGCACTCCTCATCTACTCTCCTTGCAACACATATGGGGTGCCACTGGAGAGAGAGCACTGGGCCAGACGGACTCCTGATGGAGCATTGTTGTCCCCATGCTCTTGCCTTTTGTCCTGTTTCTCCAAAACAAACAACTCAGGCATTTTGAAACACTAGCATCTGGGGGCAGGAGTGAGGTTGGGAGTGGGAGGAATCACAAGGACATGAGCAGGGATTGCCCGCGTAAACAAGATTTGCAACCATGTAGTTCAGGAGCACATCCTGCTTCAGGCTGAGGCCTTGATCTTTGAGCCTCACTGGTGTCACAGACGTGGTCCTTTGCTATGCTGTGGAAACCCAAAGAAACTGGAGGAACACAGCAGAGTTTCAGAAACCAGTTTGCACGTCTTTTCTGCAAACCTGTTCAGATACTCAAATCATTCGGAGACAATGGCCATCTCTCACCCCCTGCTGCTGGCTATGCATGTGCATCGGGTTAAGGCTTGTGAGCATCATTTCGGTCAGATTTAGGAAGAGGAAATAGAATCTAAGCTAAACTAGACTGAAATTAACTCAAGTAAGCTAAACTAAGTAAAATAACTTTATTCACAAATAAAATACTCTTTCTACCTGTAACCTTTCTGATTTCTGTCTTTGAAAGTTTTTTTGGTGCTGAAAACCCCTTGGCATTTCAGGTAAATAATGGTCTCATCATTATACACCTCACTGTCAGTACAAGGAATGGAATGGAATGGAACAGAAGAGAATGGAGCTGAACAGAATTTAATAGAACAGAACAGAACAGCTATGAAATGCTATGTATAAAACTCTGCAGGACAAGCTCTAGCATAGTTCTGAGGGGCCATCTGCAGCACAGGTCCCAAGGGAGGTCGGTTCTAGGCACTGAGTCCTATGAACACCCTCTGGACCCTGACATCAGTTGACCTGCATTCCTCATATGCTCTCCTTTACACGTGTATGGGGTGCCACTGGCGAGAGAGTATTGGGCTAGACAGACTCCTGATGGAG